GGTAAATAGACAGCTATGAAAAATATAGATGAAAACTCTCTTGGTAAATAGTGTGGTCTACAGCTTATCATAAGATACTCTACCTCAGGCAAGCAAAACCTCGAGACTTCCTTAGTATTTGATTTTGTGCACCAGCTGTTGTTTACAAATATACACAGACCGCCACCCCTTGTCTTACCAGAGTCAGCCGTTCTGTCCTGCCGATGTAGCATATAGCCTGCTAGCTGAATGTTATCATTGTTGTCGTTCAGCCACGACTCCGTGAAACATAAGATATTACAGTTTTTAATGTCCCGTTGGTAGGATAACCGTAATCTTAAATCGTCCATTTTATTCTCAAAAGATTGAACGTTGGCTAATAGGATTGATGGAAGAGGCAGTTTACTCGCTCGCCGTCGGATCCTTACAAGGCATCCGGATCTGCGTCCGCGATATCTCCGTCTCTTCCTCACGCGAATGACGGGGATTTGGGCCTTGTCGGGTGTCTGTATGATATCCTTCGCAGCCGCCTCGTTGAAGAAAAAATCTTCGTCCAATGCGAGGTGAGTAATCGCTGTCCTGATATCCAGAAGCTCTTTTTGGTTATAAGAGACGATGGCAGAAACATTATGTACAAAATAAATTACAAATAACGCGGAAAAACACACATAATAGTACAATTGGTTAGAGGGCTGTAAAACGGCAGCCATCTTCTCCGGCGCTGTTCTCCTTGTAGACTGTGTGTGTGTGTGTGATTGTTTAGCGTCGTGTCGTTTACTCTCTCATTGTTGTTCTCTTTCTCATTATTAAGTAAACTTTGACCTTGTTAATTCCTGCGTCTGCGTCCTGCCTCTTCGTATATCAGTACTCGTCACAAGTAACCTCAGATGTAAAATAGTAAATAATGGCTACTTCTCAGAAAGTATTAAATTGTCAAGAGGAGTAAAACAATGTTGTCCACTATCGGCATATCTATACTGAACAAAATATAAACACAACATGTAAAGTGTTGGTCCCATGTTTCATGAGCTGAAATAAAAGATCCCAGAAATGTTCCATACGCACAAAAAGCGTATTTATCTCAAATTTTGTGCACAAATTTGTTTACATCCTTGTTAGTGCGCATTTCTCCTTTGCCAAGATAATCCATCCACCTGACAGGTGTGGCATATCAAGAAGCTGATCAAACAGCACGCTCATTACACAGGTGCACCTTGTGCTGGGGAAAATAAAAGGCCACTCTAAAATGAGCAGTTTTGTCACACAACAAAATGCCACAGTTTTGAGGGGAGTGGATTTGGCATGCTGACTGTGGGAATGTCCACCAGAGCTGTTGCCAGAGAACGTAATGTTAATTTCTCTACCATAAGCCACCTCCAACGTCGTTTTAGAGAATTTGGCAGTATGTCCAACCGGACTCACAACCGCAGACCATGTGTAACCACGCCAGCCCAGGACCTCCAGATCCGGCTTCTACACCTGTGGGATCATCTGAGACCAGCCACCCGGACAGCTGATGAAACGGATGAGTATTTCTTTCTGTAATAAAGCCCTTTTGTGGGGAAAAACTCATTCTGAATGGCTGGGCCTGGCTCCCAAGTGGGTGGGCCTATGCCCTCCCAGGCCCACCCATGGCTGAGCCCCTGCTCAGTCATGTGTGATCCATAGATTAGGGCCTAATGAATGTAATTCAATTGACTGATTTCCTTATATGAACTGTAACTCAGTAAAATCGTTGAAATTGTTGCATGTTGCGTTCATGTTTTTGTTCAGTATATTTATTATGGCCATCGAAATGTTAGCTATTAAAAATCAGATCAAAAAATAATATCAAGGGGCTAGAAATCCAGGGCTTTAAAACAAAGGTGTCATTGTACGTTGACGATTCATGTTTTCTTTTAAATCCGCAATTTGTATCCCTGCACAGAAGATGTAGATAATTTTTCTAACCTCTCTGGATTAAAACTGAATTATGATAAATCCATATTACTGTTGTCCATTCAGAACATTCGTCTTCACCAAATTTGCTCGACGCACTGCTTGAATTGAACTCTGCATCCACTTCCGCCATCTTCCCACCAAGACCCAGCTGCCGGTCTTCAGTCCTCCACTCCACCTTCATGCCAACGACAGGCTTTGGTCTATCTTGGTTATAGTTATAAAAATCTTTGAGATGATACTGCTTAGTGTAAAAGAGACAAGACTCCCCTACGTATTTATTTGGAGAGTGACACTAAAACTTTTAATTTGGCTCTATACTCCAGCATTTTGGATTTGAGATCAAATGTTTTATATTAGGCGACAATACAACATGTCACCTTTAATTTAAGGGTATTTTATATATATATCTATCTGTTTTACTGTTTAGAAATGAAAGCACTTTATGTATCTAGCTAGTCCCCCCATTTGAATGTGTCATAAGTATTTGGACAAATTCACTAATAGTGTATTACATTTAGTCAAAAGTTTAGTATTTGGTCCCATATTCTTAGCACGCTATGACTACATCAAGCTTGTGACTCTACAAACTAGTTGGATGCATTTTCTGTTTGTTTGGTTGTGTTTTGGATTATTGTGCCCAATAGAAATAAATGGTAAATAATGTATTGTGTAATTTTGGAGTCACTTTTATTGTAAATAAGAATAGGTTTGTGAACACTTGTACATTAATGTGGATGCTACCATGATTACGGATAATCATGAATGAATTGTGAATAATGATGAGTGAGAAAGTTACAGATGCACAGAGATCATGCCCCCAAAACATGCTAACCTCTCACCATTGCCAATAACAGGGGAGGTCAGCAGTTTTGGGGGGTATGACACTATGCCTCTGCAATTTTCTCACTCATCATTATTCACGATTCATTCATGATTATCCGTAATTATGGTAGCATCCACATTAATGTACAAGTGCTCAAAAACAATAAAAGTTACTCCAAAATGATAAAATGACTGCCTAAAGATAGAAGATCTTGTGATCCTAAGTTCTACAGCTGCACCTTCGAGAGCATCCTGACTGGTTGCATCACTGCCTGGTATGGCAACTGCTCTGCCTCCGACTGCAAGGCACTACAGAGGGTAGTGCATACGGCCCGGTACATCACTGGGGCCAAGCTTCCTGCCATCCAGGACCTCTATACCAGGCGGTGTCAGAGGAAGGCCCTAAAAATGGTCAAAGACTCCAGCCACCCTAGTCATAGACTGTTCTCTCTGCTACTGCACGGCAAGCGATGCCGGAGCGCCAAGTCTAGGTCCAAAATGCTTCTTAACAGCTTCTACCCCCAAGCCATAAGACTCCTGAACAGCTAATCATGGCTACCCGGACTATTTGCGCTGCTGCTACTCTGTTTATTACTATTTATTACTATAATAATAATAATAATATGCCATTTAGCAGACGCTTTTATCCAAAGCGACTTAGTCATGTGTGCATACATTTAGTCAATGCAGTGTCCTATGCATTACCTATGCATAGTCACTTTTACTCTACCCGCTCCTGCAGGTTCATGCTCTACAACATTCGGAGAGTACGACCCTGCCTTACACAGGAAGCGGCACAGGTCCTAATCCAGGCACTTGTCATCTCCCGTCTGGACTACTGCAACTCGCTGTTGGCTGGCCTCCCTGCCTGTGCCATTAAACCCCTACAACTCATCCAGAATGCCGCAGCCCGTCTGGTGTTCAACCTTCCCAAGTTCTCTCACGTCACCCCCCTCCTCCGCACACTCCACTGGCTTCCAGTTGAAGCTCGCATCCGCTACAAGACCATGGTGCTTGCCTATGGAGCAGTGAGGGGAACGGCACCTCTGTACCTTCGGGCTCTGATCAGTCCCTACACCCAAACGAGGGCATTGCGTTCATCCACCTCTGGCCTGCTGGCTCCCCTTCCTCTGCGGAAGCATAGTTCCCGCTCAGCCCAGTCAAAACTGTTCGCTGCTCTGGCACCCCAATGGTGGAACAAGCTCCCTCACGACGCCAGGACAGCGGAGTCACTCACCACCTTCCGGAGGCATTTGAAACCCCACCTCTTTAAGGAATACCTGGGATAGGATAAAGTAATCCTTCTACCCCCCCCCCCCCCCCCCCCCCCCCCCCAAAAAAAAAATTGTAAAGTGGTTATCCCACTGGCTATAGGGTGAACGCACCAATTGGTGAGTCGCTCTGGATAAGAGCGTCTGCTAAATGACGTAAATGTGCCCTTGAGCAAGGCACTTAACCCTAATTGCTCCTGTAAGTCGCTCTGGATAAGAGCGTCTGCTAAATGACTAAAATGTAATGTAAATGTACATATTACCTCAATTACCTCGACTAACCGGTGCCCCCACACATTGACTCTGTACCGGTACTCCCTGTATATAGCCTCCCTACTGTTAATGTATTTTACTGCTGCTCTGTTAAGGGCTTGTAAGTAAACATTTCACTGTAAGGTCTACCCTGTTGTATTCGGCGCATGTGGCAAATAAAATTTGATTTGATTTTGATTCAGTTTGGGTTGGGTGAAAGACAAGAAGACAAAATGAAACTATTGAGGACGCACTTAGCCTTCCGCATATAGTTGCTCAGTTAGGCATCAGCTGATAAACCGATTTTTCTTTACAGGCAAACCACAAATTAGGGAACAATCAACAAAAAAGGGACATTTTCAATACGTTTCTATTCCTGCCTTCTTGACATCAATCTTGGCCAAAATGAAAAGGTGTATGTTGTTGTCAACTCAAAAACACTGTCTCTTTAAATCCTCAAGGCAGCCTCGTTTCCGATGTATAAAACCTGTGACGTATTGTATTTCATTTTTTGCACGAGAAGAACGTCGTCCATTCTACAAACCGCTTTCATCCACAACCAACTCTCTTTTAGTGGTACAATACGGATAACGTGTAGCTAGCTACCGGAGATTATTACATTTGAGAACATAGTTGAGAACATCAAGCTGGTGAACTTTATAAAGTGGGTTGTTTTGGGACACTGCCAACCGACTGTAAACCAAGTAAACGAAAACGGTACAGAACGTTAGCCACATGAGTTCCGACGCTAAGCCCGAGCCTAAAAAAGCCAAAATGGAGAATGAAAGCAAATATCTCCCCGAGCTTCTGGCAGAAAAAGACAGTCTGGATTCTTCATTCACTCATGCAATGAAACTTCTATCTGCAGGTAATATTTTACTTAAATATTTTAATTGAAATGCATATTTGCAGTGACTCCTTGAACTAGTTTGCTAGCTGATGTAGCTGTAAAAAAAAAAAAAAAAGACGATAGCTAGGCTAACGTAGCTAACTAGCAGGTTACCTAACCGTTCTGGTTGTAACGTTAACACTTCTGTGATTCCTACAACAAACTATTTGTGTTGACCTAAACGTTAGATTATTATTGATCATAGATTCAATACAATGGGTTTTGCAAAACCCACAACATATAGCCTAGTTAGTATTACTAACTATGTATAAGTGTTGGCCTTGTGTTGGACAACAATGGTTGCCGCGGGAAGAACGGCCTGCTAGCACGAGGCTCGAATGGAGAAGAGGCATGGCACGGAGCAGGATGGGTGTAGGGAATATGTAGGTAACTAGTTAGGTAACGTGGCTGTTATGGCCTCGAACTTTTCCGACGTGCAAATTAATGCTTATGGAAGGCTGCTGCCCATTTGTGAGTTTTCTTATTAGGCATTACAGTCAGTAACTAGGTTTCCATCCAATTGCACACAGATTTTCATACGAAGATTCTAAAATCCGTTTAAAAACTATTTGAATTTCCCCACCAGCGATGTTTCCATCAAATGTATCCAACAGCTCGCAGATATAGCCTGATGAGATTATGGACAAAAGAGCGAGATTATTTTTATTTGTCAAAAGGCAGTCAATCAAGCATCAATCATCGTGTCGCCGGAATAAGACCCTAGATATTTTTTGGAAAGTTACATCAAGCTCATCACCGTGCACTTTCACCACCCTGTGAAATTCATAATTACTTTTTACATCTGTAGCATAATAAACTGCATGCTTTCCTAAATCGTAGTGGGAGGACAGCACAACATATCATCGCGTGACTCCAAGTAAATATTATGGTTATTATATCAATATTTACGCATAAAGTATTTTCCACCGCAATTTCTCTCAACAGTAGCTAGTTATATGAAATAGGGCTGCTTATTTGTTAGTGCTGTAAAAATGTGTAGTTGGCTGATTCCTCACGAAATCCTGATAAATACCATTATTTTTTGTTGATTTTCACAATGTAATCCATAGAATGTACCTTCTGGCAGAAGGATTGTTGACATATTTTACATTTGTATCTAAGCATAATTGTGAAATAATTGCTGAGTTGGCATATGTATGGCATTTTGGCCTTACACTTGTCTATGTTTCAAATGTAGGTGCTACAAAGCAAAAATTGGTGTCATATGAAGCTTTACCGCTTGCTCTGGTATGAGTAATATTGTTTTCAATAACAATTAATTTATGAATATTGACAAATATAAACATAAATATTGAGGAAATGCCATTTTTGATGTGGCAATTTATAATGTATATTGTTGAACATAATATACTTTATGGGCATATCAAAGTTCTAGAGCGAGATCTCTGCAAGTTTTAAAGTTATCGCCCATTTTAAACAGAAATTGGCATAGTAGGTAACCAACCACAGCCCTCATTTACTTGCATCCTGCAAATCACCTGCACAGGGCGACCATTTTGAATCCAATTCTACATTCATTCTGTTGCCGGTAATGCTTACAAATTGGATCATAACTCTAAAAGTAGCGGAGATCCCACTCTGGAACTTTGATATGTATGTAGCGTGAGTATTATGTTAAACAATATATTAAAAAACAAGCTAAATCAAAATGGCATATTTTCACTTCTAAAATGTAAGATTCATTATTGAGATAAAAAGACTACTTGTATTACAGAGCAAGCGGTAAAGCTTCATAGGACACATTTTTGCTTTGTAGCACATACAGATGAAACATTGTTTTTTTTAAGGAGGCCTGGGTATGGCCAAAATGTAAAATATTCCAACTACAATTAAATATTTCTCAACTTTTAAGATCCAAACGTCAAATATATTTCAACAATAGATCCTCCAAAGGACCATTCTATGGATTGCATTCTGTGGAAATCCCCCAAAATCATTGCATTTTGTCCTGTTTCGTGATTAATCAGCCACTTTATTTTCTATCCATCATAACTACATTTGAATCTAAGTTAATGTTTACACTCATGCAAGTCACTTAGATTTCTACTAATAAACATTTCCCACTCTTACAGCTGGATTCCTGAATTTATCTTGCGAATACCTGCAGATGATATTGCAGATTTGAAATTGGTAGTAGACAGCAGCTAGCTTTCACATCTGTGGGTTAAAAAAAAGAAGTGATGTCTGCTACAAAGTTACTGTGCAATGCTGTAGGCAGGACATTGTCACAATATGTTGGAACCTCTGCTAGAAACCTCAAGGCTGCTGTAATGGCAGCCAGAAGCTGAGCATTGTCCAGGATGTCTGGTTGGCCTGTCTTTAAAGTATAGGAAGATGGTTTCTGTAGTTAAGTGTCAGACCAGGTTATAACTGGTTCCGTCCTGCTGCAGGGCCAGTTAACAGCTTGCTTGCAGCCTGCCTCTCCCCCAGAACCAATTTTCCCCCAGACAGTTCACCACTGCCAGTCTGTCTCAAACTAAACATGAACATGCATTAAGAAGAGTTTCGAATTTATGTTTTGGGACCAACTTTGTATTCTACGGTCTGATCAGCTACTTTTTGTCAATGATGTGAACTGTGTGGTGTAACTTGAGACCCACCCACTAACTTCTTTGTGAGGAAATGAGGGAGCTAGCGTGTCTTTGGGTCTCTTGTATTTTATCTTATGACTCCAGGATAGGATGTTGTCTAGTAGGCCTATTATTCTACACTTTGATTTGACCAAGCGCTGCTAATTGCTTGGAAATTATGAGCATTTCATGAAGCTCTTGCACTATGCATTTATGATCAGTCTTTGTGAATGATAGTGATGTTAGTCAAACTAAAAAGCCATGTTCTGTTTCTCTGTAGAGATAGAACGGATTCAGAAAGGAGAGACAAAGAAAGAGACAGAAAGAGAAACTTACCTGGACCTGTTTACCACAAAGAACATCAAGGTCAAGGAACGTGTGCTCATTCCTGTCAAGCAGTACCCAAGGGTGAGTACATATTTTTTTTTTTTGTATTTGTTCAATAGAAACCTTCAGTTTGGGCCATTGCTTTTCACCTGTGATTACTTTAGGGTGGGAAACATATACTATGCTCAAAGCATACATTATCCTTTACTGTCAATGAACTCTTGTGTCACTGACATAGAATGAACACAACTTGCACCCCTGAGGGTTATCAGTGACCTGAACTTTAATGGATATGACTGCATGTAGTGGAATTATTATTTTAATAGGAGAATTTCATGGGATTGAATTCAGAATGGCATGTCACTGTGCTCATTCTGCCATGCAGTTAGTCCCCCAGTGGTGTCTACAAAATGGCTCACTTAAACAGGCATAAATAATAGAAAGAGGACAGCTGGTTCATTCCTCTTCAATGCTGTGTGCTGAAACTGCTTTCTCATATCTACTGCTATTAAACATGGATCAACTTCCTGCTGTCTCTTGGGCAGGCTCTCGCACTGTCTCTTACGGTGTCTGGTCTGTTCGATATCCCCTCTCAGCCTTTTCCTGCATGAATAAGTGTGGTTGGGGAGAAACCAAATGGCCCTAGCTGTCACGCTAGAGTGCCTGAGTGATTAATTAATCTGTAAATATGACCTACTCTTGCTGGGTTTTCCCCCTGCTGCAGCAGCCTGGCTCTGACATGCTTGTCTGTAATGTAGTGTATCCCCGCTCTCCCTTAGACTGGAAAGGAAAGACCTGCAGCATGCTATAGTTTAGCGTCAGTGATGCAGTATCTTCCGCAGCCTATTACCATGATCTATGTTTCAATATCCATGAATACAACAATTTCTGCACCAAGAACATCGAGGCTATTAGTGAACCCTTTTTTTATTTCCACAGTTCAACTTCGTTGGTAAGATTTTGGGACCCCAGGGGAACACGATCAAGCGACTCCAGGAGGAGACTGGAGCAAAGATCTCAGTGTTGGGCAAAGGTTCCATGAGGGACAAGGTGAAGGTAAGAATGGAGGGAGGGTGGAGTTGACAGGGTACATGTGGAGAAGAGTCCCTTTGTAACAAACATTGCGGTAATCGGCTGTGTAATGTGCAGAATTCATTGTCATTTTTACATTGTTAAATTTCAGGAGGAAGAGCTGAGAAAGGGTGGCGAGCCCAAATATGCTCATCTGGGCATGGAACTGCATGTCTTCATAGAGGTGTTTGCTCCCATACCTGAGGCATACCTGCGCATGGCTCACGCCATGGACGAGGTCAAGAAGTTCCTCATCCCTGTAAGTATCCCAGGCAGCATCCTGCTTCAACCAAAGACATTTTAAAGTTGTTATGTATGGGTCTAGCTATTTGATCTATGGTAGCTTAGCAATGGTCCAAGATTTTTCATCCTGCTTCCATGTTATAATGTCAGACCTGTCATGTTAATGTAGCTACTCTCTTTACTCTTTATAAGCAGGACACCATGGATGGTATATGCCAGGATCAGTTCATGGAGATTGGCTACCTGAATGGCGGTCAGGATTCACAATCCAGGGGACGAGGGGGCCCTCCAGGCAGGGGCAGGGGAGCACCCCCACCCAACTCAGCAGGAGCCAGGTAGGACTCTCTGCCTGACAACCCCTTACCTTTCAAGACCAATAGCCTTCAGAATCCTAAAAAGGTAAATTTACGCCTATTTTTTTTCTTCAGGGGGCGAGGAATGCCACCTCGTGGAGGAGCCCCCCGTGGAGGCACCCAACGTGGTGGAGCTTCCCGAGGAGGACCTCCCAGGGGTGGTTCTGCCAGGGGGGCTCCAGCTGGTCGGGGTGGACCCCCCTCTACACCCGCTAGAGGAGGCACAGCACCCCGTTCCAGACCCCCCACCCCAGGGACACCAAGGATGCTCCCGTCTCCAGCCCACTCCCACCAGCAGCACCAACATCAGCATCAACACGCACCACCACCCAAGGCTGAGGCCTACAATGAATATGTAAGTCAAACCACTCAATCGTTAAGTCATTGGGTTGTATACCTACTTTCAGAACTGAAGAGCTGTCAGTTTAAAGATTGATTTATTGTAGGTCTATTCATCATGGGTGACATGTCACCTCATTTGTGTTTAAGCCCCATGGGACTTTTCTAGTCCACTTGAGTTTTTTATTGTGACATGCTAGTAGAATTCTATGTTTTACATGTACCTTGTCATTTTGTGGTAATAATGGCTTATGTTGTCTTTATTTCCCCAGCCTGCCTATGAAGAAAGCTACGCTGAGCCTGCATATGAAGGTTATGACAACTATTACAGTCAACAACCTCCACAAGCGTAAGTATCTTTCTCATAATATAATTGCTGAGTGAGTTAAAACAATGAAGTGGACAATCCTCAGAAGATTGGAATATCAGACTCTTTTGTTTTATTTATTTTTTCTCGTTTGAATTGTCAGAGGAAAAATTAAGGTGGTTAGGCTGGATTCCAGCAGGCAACCAACCCCTCTGATTCAGAGGCGTTGGGTTAATTGCGGAAGAAGCGTTTCGGTTGAATGCATTCAGTTGTGCAACTGACTAGGTATCCCCTTTCCCTAGTGATTTGAATTTCCGGGAACCTTTGTAATTACACTGATATTGTGCCATGTTTTCAAATGAATGCTGTGAGGTCCCAAACATTTAACCCTCTCCGTATTCAATGTAGTCTTAAAGTCTGTCTTAAAAGGCTCTTTGACATACTCTTCTCTTCTCAGGGACACTGAGTACTATGACTATGGACATGGAGAGGCTCAGGAGGCTTATGAACCCTATGGTAAGATGGCAGTAAATGAATGGTGGTGAATGTTACTGCAACCAACAAATTTTTTCATACATTTTGAAATAATGAAACTGACGTAATTGGTCCAAACTGGTCCTTTGTCCATTTGTTGTACTCGATGTTGTGAAGGAATTGACCACCACTCTTTGTCACACTGCATGTATCCAAACATTGACCTATGCTTTTTTTTTTTCTGTAGCCCAGGACGATTGGGAGGGTTCCTGGTCCTCCACTGGAGGCAAAGCCCCTCCAGCGAGGCAGGATAAGCGGGGGGCCTACAGAGAGCATCCATACGGAAGATACTGAACAGACTCCGGTAGAGGGTTGCCCTGGCAACTGTCTCCCATTGTAACTCACTTTTAACTCCAAAGTAATTTTCCAAAATGTTTTTCTTTAATTTTCTGTAGTTTTTTGTTGATTTTTAATGATTTGAGAGCAGGACAACCGGATGTATCGTATTGAGTGGGCGTAGCAAGGATTTGGGGAATACGTTTTCATTCAATGTTTGTTTCCACTGCATCGTTGACAGTTTTTTAAGATCTAATTTAATGGTTACTTAGAGAAACGTGATACATTGTATAGTGTTAAATGTTCTTTTTGAAGGTTTGTTTCAGTTTGTCTGTCTTGAGATGAGTTGTGACAGTTGCAGACTCATTTAGGCTGCATTTCTAAAGTATTTTCTAGCTAAAACTTGATTAATGGCGTCAATGTAACATCGGTAACTAGACTAAGAATGAATGGGGAAGAACCCAACTCATTTTCTAGACAAATCATTTTTGTAGAAACTAACATTCCCTATAGATGCATAGATTTCAATGTTATTTGTTTTGTTTTTTCAAACTTTCGTAGGGTTTTGAAATCTAGGCGTATTAAACACAGACGGACTGTCATAAAATATCTCCTTTAAGTAATTTCAATTCGTCTTGGTAGTAAGTACATTCTACTTTCGGTACCTTTTGCGATTGGCTTACTTTGGTCTACATCTTATTGGGCTGATTTTGATGGAAATGCTGAAAAATTACTCACTATTTGTTTGAGTGGTCCTACAAGGATTTGGACATGGTCTTCATGTAAGGGAAAACTGCAGCAAACTCAATATTATGTGCATACACTTAGGACAATTTTGTATATTGCTTTCTAAAGTTGTGCCGTCTCCAAAATGCATAGTGCTACGTACGTTTGTACTCTTTGCCTAAATAGGATACTAAATATATCCCAAAATGTATTTCTGCAGTGCGTTGTATCAATAAAGCCTAATTTGTTTTTGTTTTTTTTATCAAACTAAGCCTGGTATTTTGCTTTTCTTGTATAGTAATGCCTTCCACTACTAATAAAACTTGATTCTCGTTTTAAGGGTCTTCACAAAACTCCAAAACAATCACCAGATTATTGTATGTACATAGGAGACAAAAGCAACCAAAAAGAACATTGCTTTACTTTGATAAAGAGCACGTCCTCTTCATCTCTCTGTATTAAAAATGATCTAGAAGAGACCCGTTATGTCACCTAAAATTAAGATGGTACCTTAATCAAGGTAATGTATTTCCAAATACTTCGCTTGAAGGATATAGTGCTTGGACTTGTATTATTTGAAATCAATCGTTACAACGGCACATTTCCTCAAGCTTCCCAATGAGCCATGTATTTTTAGTCATTTGAAATAACTGATTTTCAACAGTATTTACAATCAAGCTTGCAGGGATCTTACTTGACTTTGATGCAAAGTCATGCTGGCTGGTTTTATTAAAGAAAAATATCGCAGAGGAGAGGATGCTAAAAGCCTAAAGATCACGTCAAGAAGGTAAAATTAACCCCAACTGTCATTTGTTCGATATTTTTTGTCTTATTCACAAAATGCTAGAACCTGCTAGTCATCCAAAACCAGTTGTCCAAAACTGCATAACTGAAAAATATGCAATGATAACCTGTCTCAAATAAAATAGCTGTGCAAAATTATTGTAATGCAACTCTTGCGAAAATTGAGAACAGTTTATGGTCCAATCATTTAAAATGCCTTCTGGCTTTTTTATTTTGTATTGTTTTAATGTTAAAATGTTCAGCATTTGTAGCAATCTTTTAAGTCATGGTTACAAAAAAATACATTGGCAGCCTTAGCTTGAGTTGCATGACTTTTGCAGTGAAATGTTAGTCTTGCATGAATGATTGTCCATCTTTTACTACATGTAGTTGTCAACAGCACTTGCACATGGGTCTCATTTGTATTTCTGTCCCCAGGTATTCCGCGTTAGTCCCTCTGGGTTTGAGAAAGGCATTGGATTTGAGCTGAATGTCCTCATGGTAAGTAGTATCTTCAGCAATATCATGTAATTTAACAATGCTAAAGCTGCTACAGTATTTTTGTATTTACTATTAGTAAAATAAAGAACTGATGAAACCAAGTCTGCCAACTGAGTATTCCTCAGATTCTACGTTTGCTTGTTGAATTTGTCCAGAAAGCTCTTAGTCCCCTTCACAACCAACTGCAAGGTTTTTGAATGGACCCTCAGACTGACTTTTGTCAGGGTCTTGACCGGCTCTAGTAGAAAATCAAACCAGGTTTGTTACGTAGTACCTACTGATAGACTGAAGGGGGAAATGTTGGTGTTTTCCAATGAGATTTGATCAAGGTTTCCCTCCATCCTCAAACTGTCACTTTGAGAAGTGCTCTGTTTTTGTGGCTCATGACAGGGTGACTGAATTTAAAATCTTTTCAACAGGTATAATCCAGTGAAAGGCCTTGGCTGCGCAGATTTAAGGCTCCTGGCAGTCTGATGTTTTGTAGAAATGAGGATAAAAGAATGAGCTCATTCCGTCACTTCGGGATAATGGCACTCCCTGGAATACAGTTGATTGTCTCCTGAGACATCAATATACGGCCTACAGTGCATTCAACTTGAGTTTAGATGAATTCACTGTCTGGTTCCCTATAAAGCAGCTTGGAGAATGCTCCAAGAGTACAGTACGAGGAACCAAGTTGGCGTATTATCTTCCTTTGGTTCCTGATTTCCTTGACTTGATTATGTTCATTTTTTACCTCACGTTTTACATTTTTAAATATGTTGACATGTGTGATTGTAAAATTGTAGTTGCCACAGGAAGTTCTTGGATGTTTTCTGTGCAGACTTAATTTAAAATTTCTTAAATAAATCTCAATATCCTGACTGCTGTTCTTTCTTAATTGTATTGTCATGGGTGTTTTGAGGCTTATAAAAGGTAAATCCTTCAGCTACCTTTTTTATATTTAAATATAGCCTTGGTTACTGTATACATGGAAACTGCATCTCTTATCATAGGCCTCCCCCCCCAAATCTCTTCCCTTACTAAATAAATAAACACAATCTCTGGGTACTAGGTGTCTGTAATGGCAGCTTTGAGAGAGTGGCTGCTCTGCTCGGGTTTCTCGCTCTCACTACATTTCCCGTCTGGTGAAGCTGGGTAGGGATGTCTGGCCCCATTCTGTAAGGATGGTGATGGACAGAATATTGATGAAGGGGATAAAAGGAAAGCGACTAAGACATACGCTGTAGTGTACTGGAGCTACGACCCTTTAGTTGGAACTAACAGGTAGCAACAAGTGAATGCTCAATGGAGCATCTAGTGAAGTTGGACTCGATGACACAATTTAGTAGAGTAGTGGTGGGAAAAGTACCCAATTTGTCATTGAGTAAAAATAATTCTATACAAAATGGCTCCTGTGAAAGTGAGTCACCCAGTATACACTACTTGAGAAAGTATTTGTGTTTTAAATATACTTAAGGATCAAAAGTAAATGTAATTGCTCAAATATACTTAAGTATCAAAAGTACTAATAATTTCAAATTCCTTATATTAAGCAAACCAGATGGCGCCATTGTCTTTTTAAACATTTATTTTATTTACGGAAAGCCAGGGGCACACTCGACACTCAAATGTTGGTGTGTGTTTAGTGAGTCAACCAGATCAGAGGCAGTAGGGATGACATGCGATGTTCTCTTGATATGCGCATGAATTGGACCCTTTTCCTGTCCTGCTAAGCATTCAAAATGTAAAGAATACTTTTGCGTGTCAGGGAAAATATATGGAGTAAAAGGTACATTATTTTCTTTAGGAATGTAGTGAAGTTAAAAGTTGTCAAATATAAATAGTAAAGTACAGACCCTAAAAAACAACTTGGGTACTTTTAAAGTATTTTTACTTAAGTATTTTACACCACTGCAGTCGAGACTGGTTGCTGAGACTGAGACAATGTTCTTAGCAGCTGGAAAATATGGAGAGGAAGTCGCTAGAGCAGGGATCACGGCCTGTGGGTGATTTTATTGGGGGGGGAGACATGACTAAAAACACCAGCAAATCAGCTCCTTGTGATTACAATTTTGGAAGTCATTGCCAAAGTATTCCCACACATAAAAGAGATGTGATCGTATACAATATAGGCAAGATTTGAAATAGTTTTAGTCATGTTATCTGTTTGGGCTTCTTGCAGTCAATTTGCAATCTACAAATTATTTTTAATTATGTTCCGGTCCCCTGACCGTCCGCTCAAGGAAAAAATAGGCCCCTGGCTGAATCTAGTTGATGATCCCTGCGCTAGAACCTATAAGACTGCCAGGTGCTGTGGTCTGTTTTGCATATCAGACGATGTGAGAGGGATCTGATTTAAAATCTGTCAACATCAGAATATATATACTTTAACAGCGGATATGTTTTGTCTGTAGTTGGCAGGCAGAATGATGCTATTATCTGACACAATATGAGAAAAACACCTGTTGTCATGGGGCTGAGCAGTCCCTCAGACACCTGAACCGGAGGGCACTTCAGCAGGATGGAAATAAACACAGTGGGGAATTGTCTGAGACCTTTGAAAGGAATTAAAATATGTACATATAATTTATTCTGAGGCCAACCTCCCTCCAAATGCATATACTGTTCTATCTCCAAAGTTCTCATCAATTCTGAAAATGTATCTTTCCCCCTGTGACATCGGAAACTGCAAGCATGCACAATATGTTATCAGATTGGATCAAGGCATTATCAGTTATTTGATTTCCTGAGGCTCATTGTCAGAAACGAAATGTTGCTGTTTCCACAGTGATGGCATGCACTTTTTTCTCTCATCAATATGCCCCATGAGAACTGCAGGCAGTTAACTCATTACCATACTTATTAACAAGAGTATTGCAAGTGCATGGTGAAATGCCGATTTTATTTGGGTTCATCAAGTTGACAACCTGAAAATAGAGGTAGAAATGGCTCTAAGGGACATGCTGTTGAGTAGATCTTTTAAACTTGATTTATTATCTGTGGGTGATTCATGAGATTCACAAGATACATCATTCACATAAAAAAAATTGAGCTTTTACGTAAACCTTTTCCGTTACCATAGAGATACCAGTTTTCCTAATTTGTATGTCTCCAATCCCCAGACCAACTAAATGCTGACTGTTTTTTTTAAGGGGGTAGATCAGCTTTAAAATTGCAGATAGATTGTAACTTCCATCAATGTAGTTGCATCACTTCCAATCCCCCATATTTTTTTCTCGCATATTTTAAAATATATTTTCAGTTACTTTCCAACCCCACCACCCCTCCCCTAATTGGAGTAAACTAGTGAACAACAACGCTTATGCCTCTACTTCCAGCGTATACATACTATATACATTGGAAACAGTCAATTTTACAATAGTTCTATTTTGCTTGTTTTTACTTCTGACCTTCTTCAACCTCTCCGATCGTACTGTTGACGTACCGATTCCATGGCAAAGTGTTTATTAACTGATATGCAAAACGATGCCAGATTCAAAACTTTGAATTTTTCAATTTAAATAATTATGTAATATTCTTGCTACCAATAGAATGTTATTTAAATGGGCAATCTAACCAGCTCTGCAGATTTTGCTGCGAAGAGACCGAATCATTAGATCATTTGTTTTGGTACTGTCCGTTTGTAGCTTGTTTTTGGTCACCGGTCCAGGAATGGCTGAAGGATTGCAATATTTACCTGGAGCTAACCCTGCAGATAGCACTACTGGGTGATCTGAAAAGTCATAGTCAATCGATCAATAATATAATACTTTTAGCAAAAAAAATTATTTTCAATTAAAAATCTGTAGAAACAATGAGAACAGAAGGGTTCAGAATGTTTGAAACAGTACAGTTGAAAAATATATGGCAAATAACACCATCCATATTGGATTTCTAAGAGATAGATGGGAGGGGTTGAATGGAGCTGAAGGTTGGGACTAATAACTAATAAGATAACTAATGTAAAACATACTGTGTCCATTATAGGTTAGGAACTTTTGGGAAAGAGCACAGTTTGAAAGATATGGCATATAGACGCAAACAGGATGGACATCATTAAAATGCTAACACTTAGTTGTGGGAGAATAATGACAATAACATAGCTATTCAAATAGTGGTTTATTTTCCAATCTATTTCTTCATCTTTATAGATGTCAAAGAACTGGACAGGTGAAAATAAATTCCCAGGAGCCATCCACCAAATTGCATACACCTGTCCTGTCCTACCAGCGATGAATGAAAGGGGATGCAGGAACGCTTGAAGCATCTATAGGTTGATGAGTGAGATGCAGGTCTATGCAAAAGTACAGTCAATGAATTCATGCATTGAACAATATATACTAGGCCTACTTATAATGTTGATCTGATCATAACAGCAAAGCAGTGCACATACTGCACTGTAAAGTTTATGGACTGAATTAATATCCTGTGGTACAAATTACAAAAACACAACCAGTTCTATAGTTACATAAAATGTTTAAATTAAAAGATAAAAGCTTTTACATCATATTATTCTGGTAAAATTGTTAACTCCTGCATCTCCAGATGTAAATGATCAGGATCTATTATGTAAATACAGTATTACCACAGATAGAACAATGAGACAGATATTTCACTGGCTGTATAAATATGAAGCATCCACTTGGCGTTTCCACTCACTACCAAATGTAGTGAGAGGAAGCCCAGCTGCCGGCAGTGGGAGAAGATGGAGGGAGATAGATTTTAGCCTACATTCTGCACATTTCCTAATCGATGAAACATTTGATCTCAATACAGTTTTCTGTTCCCAAAGATAGAATCTGTTATGAACAGAGTGGACTACGTTTTGTAGACTTTACCCTTTGCCAAAGTTTTAAAAAAAAATCGCGTTTAGAAGGAGTGCAAAGGCGAATTGAGTTATTGCACAAGTGCAATTCACAGAGTAGCCGTTCCCTAACGGAAATATGCAGATATATGCTAGAACGAGCTAATAGCTCTGCCCACCTCCTTACTTATTCTACCCACTATGGCTGTGGTCTATCTTGGTTTAGTTATACAAATCTTCGGTATTGTATGATGTCTCTTTAAAGAAACACTCCCTCCCGCATGTCATTATGTCCTCAATGACGTCACGTCCGCGCCCCCATCTGTAGTACCTCATCAACACAATGATCAACTTCGTTTATTATAATGGAAGACGTGCATTTTTCTCAACAAAGGCTCAGAAAATCTGTGTTGTGTAACTTGCTACTTCATATACTGCAACCGCATCTGAGATAAAATCCCTGTCCAAACCCCGGTAAGCTTAAATGTTGTATGATTTGGGTAGCTAGCTAACAGCTAGCCATTAGGCTGCCTGTTTATATGGTAGGCCGCAGTCTTTTGTATTTTGTTGAGCATGCATTTTTGCCGTCTTGGCGGAAAGATTGGTTTAGCGAAAATACAGGTTTTTTTTATCTCGTGCACGTTACGATAAGATGTGTAATATATGTATGGCCTATCAGTTCATTGATGCAACTATCGGGTTTGTATGTCAGCTTCCGGAAAAGTTGTTGATCTGCCACATGAGTAAATGAGGTTTCTCCTTTGCCAATATAATCCATTCACCTGACAGGTGTGGCATATCAAGAAACTGATTAGCAGCATGATCAGTACACAGGTGCACCTTGTACTGGGGACAATAAAAGGCCACTTTAAAATGTGCAGTTGTGGGGGAGTGCTGAGGAGTTTTTCTGCCTGTAATACAACCCTTTTGTGTGGAAAAACTAATTCTAGTTGGTTGAGCCTGGCTCCCCAGTGGGTGGGCCTGGCTGCCAGGAGGGTAGGCCGATGCACCCCTGCCCAGTCATGTGAAATCCATAGATTAGGGCCTAATTTATTTATTTCAGTTGACTGATTTCCTTATATGAACTGTAACTCAGTAAAATTTTTGAAATTGCATTTTTGTTCAGTATAGTTAGCTAGCTGCATTGGGGAGGAGTACATGGAATCAACTATTACCATCGCAATAGCTACTAACTACACACATATTTGTTTAGTTAGTTGTAGTTTAGTTTGTCTTATGGGAGAGGCATGGGTTAGCAGATATTTCTAGACTTAGTATTTTTCAGTCACATTGTACTCGGGCCACGTTATTATCAAGTCAGGTGGATAAATGGCAAATCACAATTCCAAATTGAGAAGCATATTGTTTATGTCACTGTGACATTCTTTCATGATCTGTCACTGTCCATGTTTAGCTTAATATGCCTTATAAACATGATCTTTGATTTGGGTATTGTAAATGCAAAATAACCTTTATGGTTGAAATGTAAAGTACCCACTCTTAATTGACTACTGTCTATGACATCACCAGACTGCAGAATATCATAGCATTGCTAGATGACCACATTATTTTTGAGCAGTGATGCCTATAGAAATAGGAAAATTAACCAACTTTTCGAATCATCAGGGTGATTTCCTACGGTGTGATCAGCTTAAAGAAAGTAGCGCTCAGACACACAAACACACAAGACGAAGAGAAACGTGGGAGTCTCTGTGATGGCAGGCGGGCGAAGAGGGGTGAACCGCACTGCTTACTGCAGGCCTCCAATGAACAGTGAGCCAGGCTCTGTCAACAACGGCAACCACTCTACCAGCTCCCCAGTCACAGGGGTGCGCTCTCGGACAAGGTGAGAGGACATTGGGATAGTATGGGTTGACTGTGTACTACATAGAACACTGTGACATGTTGTTGTGACATGTTATTCCTTGATTATAGACAGCTGTTTTGTTGCATAGTGTAGGCCCATACCACAGTCCTGCTGTTATGGAGGGTGAGAATAGTAATAAGCTAATAGTCTTTAGATATCAACCTGTAGTAACACAAAGTCATCCTTTGATTTGAAATGCTGTTAGGAATAGCTCGGGTACGGGCATATCCAGTCCCCCATTGGCAGCCCAGACCGTGGTTCCTCTGAAGCACTGTAAGATCCCAGAGTTATCCATGGACAGGAACGTTCTGTTCGAGCTGCACCTGTTCTTCTGCCACCTCATCGCCCTCTCTGTCCACTATGTCAACATCTACAAGACTGTGTGGTGGTACCCCTCCTCACACCCTCCCTCACACACCTCACTGGTGAGTCCACCCACACACTCCACTCTCACTGACTGATGATATATGACTTTGGTGCTGTTTGTTGTCTGTCTAATTTGGCTAGTAGGGTTTGTTTATGGCTGACTTTGGAGGTGATTGGTTTGTGTTTATTTGGTTGTGTGTGTGGTGACTTCATTACCATTGTAGGGTCAGCGATAGCTTAGCTTGAGGCTGTATGGTAGATGCACATCACTCACTCTAGTTAATGACCACAGACTCCCGACGTAAAGAGTAAAAAACAAAATATACTTTATTCCACAGATTTCCAGTATGTACAGCAGTGGTCACTTTCGCAGTCAAAAAGCAAGCCGAGATCTACCGCTCAGACCTTTTTAAAAATATGACTTAAAAAATGTAACATTAACCTAATAAAAACTGTTCTGTAAAAATGAGGTTTGTGCAGTATGCCTAATACATTCTCACAGCATATTGGCTATATGTCTGGCCTGCTCTTCTCAGACCATATTATATTTCAAAACTCTAGCTTTGATAACAAAATAGATCAGTTAGTGTAGTACTTGCAAGGCACAGCTCAGCATAATTAGCTTTTTTATTTTACTGGACTGATGGTACTTGCATCTGATGGTCATGGTGCTTTCAAGGTCAAATCAAATCATGACGTCAGTGATCTTCAGGTTGGGAAGTCGCAGCTCTAGAAAGATGCCAGAGTTTCCGACTTGGATGACCGTTCAAAGCGATTTATCCCAGTTGGATCTAGTTTTGTTGTGTTCCCAGTTGTTTTGAACACTGGCATTAGTCTCAGCGGAGGGAGGGAGAGCGCAGCAGAGGGTCTGCTTCTCACGGTCCCTGCGCTCTCCTTCCTTTCCTCCGGTGAGACTTACCAGAGAGAGGGGACACCGTCTTTCACCTGATTGGCAAAACTCGAGTCGCACCGCATCTGCCTCATGCACAAATCCATGTTGTCCCTATGATCAGAGAAAGTAAAATATTTCTCAATATTAAAAGACACGACGAGCTGCTAATAATAATACAAACGCAGGGATATTGATACACTTGGCTACTCATTCATTGCAGCTGCAGCACGAGTGGAAGTAGGGAGATGCATGTTTTATGTTTTGTAATAGTGTTGAATAAAAACTTAGATGAACTCACTCATAAAAACAACGCTCTTTGCTGTATTCTTTGACAGTCTCTCTCTGGTCATGGTTTTAAAAGTTATGAAATGTCATGTAGGCTAGTATCAAATTTGCTGTGGCTGAGGTCGTGGAAGCTGTAGGCACGGGGATTTGAGCTATCCGATTGGCCAGAGCAGTAGGCGCACCCTATTTAGCCACAGATCTCCCGGTTTGTCTTTTCAGACAAATTAAATGGTTCAAAATGGGAACACTTTGCCTACCCGGTGCGCAGGGCTTCTGAATCAAGTGTACCTACGGCCAACAGCGCAAAATGAAGAAAAGAGTGCAAGCTATTATGCCTTTATCAGACCAGAGAATCTTGTTTCTCATGGTCTGAGAGTCCTTTAGGAGCCTTTTGGCAAACTCCAAGCGGGCTGTCATATGCCTTTTTACTGAGGAGTGGCTTCCGTCTGGCCACTCTACCATAAATACCTGATTGGTGGAGTGCTGTAGAGAAGGTTGTCCTTCTGGAAGGTTCTCCCATCTCCACAGAGGAACTTTAGAGCTCTGTCAGAGTGACCATTGGGTTCTTGGTCACCTCCTGACCAAGGCCCTTCTTTCACGATTGCTCAGTTTGGCCGGGAGGCCAGCTCTAGGAAGAGTCTTGGTGGTTCCAAACTTCTTCCATTTAAGAATGACGGAGGCCACTGTGTTCTTTGGGACCTTCAATGCTGCATACATTTTGTGGTACCCTTCCCCAGATCTGTGCCACGACACAATCCTGCCTCTGAGCTTTACGGACAATTCCTTTGACCTCATGGCTTGGTTTTTGCTCTGACATGCACTGTCAACTGTGGGAACTTATATAGACAGGTGCGTGCCTTTCCCATGTCCAATCAATTGAATTTACCACAGGTGGACTCCAATCAATGTTGTAGAAACATCTCAAGGATGATCAATGGAAACAGGATGCACCTGAGCTGAATCGAGTCTCATAGCAAAGGGTCTGAATGCTTATGTAAATAAAGTATTTCTGTTTTTTGTTTGTAACAAATTTGCAAACGTTACTAAACTTATTTTCGCTTTGTCATTATGTGGTATTGTGTGTAGATTGATGAGAAAAAATTATATTTAATGTAACAATGTGGAAAAAGTAAAGGGCTCTGAATACTTTCCGAATACACTGTATATAATTCATATTAGTGGATTCGGCTATTTCAGCCACACCCGTTGCTGACAGGTGTATCAAATCGAGCACACAGCCATGCAATCGCCATAGACAAACATTGGCAGTAGAATGGCCTTACTGAAGAGGTCAGTGACTTTCAACATGGCACTGTCATAGGATGCCACCTTTCCAACAAGACAGTTCGTCAAATTTCTGACCTGCTAGAGCTGCCCCAGTCAACTGTAAGTGCTGTTATTGTGAAGTGAAAACGTCTAGGAGCAACAACGGCTCAGCCGCGAAGTGGTAGGCCACACAAGCTCACAGAAAGGGACCGCCGAGTGCTGAAACGCGTAGCGTGTAAAAATCGTCTGTCCTCGTTTGCAACACTCACTACAGAGTTCCAAACTGCCTCTGGAAGCTACGTCAGCACAATAACTGTTCGTCGGGAGCTTCATGAAACGGGTTTCCATGGCCGAGCAGCTGCACACAAGCCTAAGATCACCATGTGCAATGCCAAGCATCGGCTGGAGTGGTGTAAAGCTCGCCGCAATTAGACTCTGGAGTAGTGGAAACTTGTTCTCTGGAGTGATGTATCACTGTTCACCATCTGGCAGTCCGATGGACGAATCTGGGTTTGGCGGATGCCAGGAAAACGCTACCCACCCGACTTCATAGTGCCAACTGTAAAGTTTGGTGGAGGAGGAATAATGATTTGTGGCAGTTTTTCATGGTTCGGGCTAGGCCCCTTAGTTCCAGTGAAGGGAAATCTTAACGCTACAGCATACAATGACATTCTAGACGATTCTGTGCTTCCAACTTTTTGGCAACAGTTTGTGGAAGGCCCATTCCTGTTTCAGCATGGCTATGCCCCCGTGCACAAAGCAAGGTCCATACAGAAATAGTTTTTTCGAGATCAGTGTGGAAGAACTTAACTGGCCTGCACAGAGCCCTGACCTCAACCCCATCGAACACCTTTGGTATGAATTGCTACGCCGACTGCGAGCCAGGCATAATCACCCAACGTCAGTGCCCGACCTCACTAATGCTCTTGTGGCTGAATGGATGGGGGGGGGGGGAACGATAGTTACATATCACAATATTATTTGGGCAGATATTATATCGCTACTTTGGCTCCAAGTATCGATTTTAGTAAAAAAAAAAAAAACTCAGGTATTTTCCATCATATAGTTTGTTCTCCATCTTCTATAAAATCTTATGTTTAATTAGTGAGCCAACATGTCAACTCATTTTCTTACACTCTCTCTTGTCTCTGCGGCAGACATAAAGTCAGCAATATGTTTGGGACATCAAATCGCAATATTGAATCGCAATACATAAGTATCTCAGGATCTACAATTATTTCCACGGGGATAACAAAAATGAGGACACGGTCAGATAACTGTACGGCTCCACAGATAAACTACAACTAGCCTTCTAGAATGTTAACAAAACCCACAAGCCGAAATAGTGGACATGAGCTGCTGCATGATCTCTTAAAGAGACAGTATCCCATAACAAAAAAGCAAGAGAACTGAAACAATGTGTTGTAACAAACAATGCAACATAACTTAAACCAATAAATTTCTCTTATATTACAAACGTAGGCAAAATCCTAAATATGCTCCTACAACCATTGTGTGAGGGTTTGTTTGTATTTGACCACATTAGGTGGAGATAGTATCAGGTTTGATAATGGTACTACAGATTTGATAAATGATTGACAATGTCCGGATTGGATGTGCAGTGTCCATTCTTTGTACTTTGACATCTGACAAATTGATGAACTACATCTGAAAAGTGATTCCTTTCTAAATGTTATCACTATACTGTTATAAATTATATAACTTCTTATGGCATGCTAACTTAGTTTTCAGTAAGTAATAAAACGTTTTGTGTCTGATGCAGAACTTCCACCTCATCGACTATAACATGCTGCTGTTCACAGTCATCATACTGGCTCGCAGGCTGATTGCAGCGATTGTTAAAGAGGTAGGAATTCCCTTCGCTTTGCAAGTTTTGATATTATAGATTTGTTATAAACAATTCACCAATGTGCATCTCTTTTACTCATGCAAGTGTTATTCTGTGATATTTGTCAATGTATGTTTTTTCGGCACCATTCTATCTGTTTTAGTTTCTCTCAAACCCACTTGGGTCTATATTTCTGTCCCTCAGAAGAATAATACCATATTGTCATATAACAAACATCATGCCTGTCTGCCCCCCTTTTCTCTCTTCTCTCTCTATCTGCCTCTCCAGGCATCCCAGAGTGGGAAGCTCTCGTTCCCGCACTCTATCTTCCTGGTGATGGCACGGTTCGCTGTACTCACACTGACGGGCTGGAGTCTATGTCGCTCCCTCATATACCTCTTCAGGACCTACTCTGTCCTCAGCCTGCTCTTTCTCTGTTACCCGTAAGTATGGACCAGCTATCAGGCTTCCACAACACAACCATTCAAGCCTACTTCACAATGACACAGAGACAGTCAGTCACCCCTGAAATTATTGTCACCCTTGATAAAGATAAGCAAAAGAGACCGTATAAAATAAATAATAAAATTACCTAGCTATTCTCAAAATATGGGACAATTTATTTTACAGTAATATAATTGATCAGAGAGATGGATTTTCTTGAACAAGTAATAAACAAAATTATCAAAAAGATGGGTGTGAAAATGATTGGCACCCCATTTTTCAATAATTTGTGCACCCTCCCCTTGCGAGAATAACAGCACTGAGCCTTTTTCTATAATGTTTTATGAGATTGGAGAAGACATTGGGATGGATCTTAGACCATTCCTCCATACGGAATCTTTCCAGATCCTTGATATCCTTCGGTCTGCACTTATGGACTGCCCTCTTCAATTCAAACCACAGGTTTTCAATGGGGTTCAGGTCCGGAGACTGACATGGCCATTGCAAAATGTTGAATTTGTGGTCAATTAACCATTCCTTTGTGGATATCTATGTGTGCTTGGGGTCATTGTCTTGCTGGAAGATCTACTTGCGGACAAGTTACAGCCTCCTGGCAGAGGCAACCAAGTGTTTGGCTAAAATGTCCTGGTACTTGGTAGAGTTCATAATGCTGTTGACCGAAACAAAGGCCACAGGACCAGTGGAAGCAAAACAGCCCCATAACATCAAAGAGCCACCACCATATTTTACAGTAGGTATGAGGTTATTTTCTGCATATGCATCCTTCTTTCGACAGCAAACCCACCACTGGTTTGCATGGCCAAAGACCTCTATTCAGTTCCAATCCAAGTGCCAATGCCGTTTAGCAAACTCCAGGCGTTTACATCTGTTGATTGCTCTCAATAAAGGCTCTTTCCTGGCAACCCTTCCAAATAGCCTATTGGCATGGAGGTGGCATGTAATTGTAGATTTAGAGACTTGGTGACCCAACTTCTTTAATTCAGGGGTTCTCAAAGTGGGGTCCGCGGAGGTACTGCAGGGGGTCTGCGGCCAGATCTAAAAGTATTTGGATACATTTTTTAAAAATGAATATTTCTAACAGATTCAATGAAATGTAGGCCAAGCAATCTGTGGAATAAGTGTAGAGGGTGCAATACAATGTAATATTATTAATATACAATTTATGTTCTTAACCCTGGGCAACATGGGCCTGGGAGGCACACAGGGATATTGGTATCCATGGTGCTCCACCAATTATACATTTTTCACCAAACTTATGATATTTACATTTTTTACATAAATGCACTGTAATTTAAAGCTAGAATCCTTAGTTGCTACATCCATTTTTGGTATGGAATACCATGATATACCCATTGATTCTTGAAGAATATAACTTATAAATGTGTGTAGAATTATAGGAAATTAGCTTGAAAACTGCAACATTTTCTCTCCGATGCCAAGAGGTGGGCCTTTACAATGTTCCTTCCCAGGGCCGGAGCACTGCCGAAGTCATAGTAAAACTCCTTGTTTGCTATTTTAAATCTCACTCGAGTTATAAGCGGGTCCCTAATGAATATGCTATCGCAAAAGAGGTCCCCGGACCCAAAAAGTTTGAGAACCCCTGCTGTAATTCTGTAAACTGTGGCACTTGGATTTTTCTTGGCCTGCTGAACCATCTTCCTCACTGTTCGTGGGGACAAGATACACTTGGGTCCTCTACCATGCAAGTTTACCACTGTTCCAGTGGTTTTAAACTTCTTAATTATTGGCCTAATAGTGGTAAGTGGTATATAATACAAAACAAAAAGAATGAAGGTCAACGACCTTTTCATTTGAGTTCTTTGCATTTACCCATAGTGATGTACAGAGGTGTGGACTCAAGTCACATGACTTGGACTCGAGTCTGAGTCGAGTCACAAATTTGATGACTTGAGACTCGACTTGATAGAAAATAAAATGACTTGACTTGGAGCCTCAAGACTCAGGACTCGACTTTGACTTGAGACTGATGACTTGAAATTATCTGGCCAGGTTTTGTAATGTTTCTTTACTCATTTTGTGGCACAGAGTCTCTGTGGATTACTCTCCACGCAGTCAGAGCCAGTATCGCACTTGTAAAAAACAGATTGGCTAGTGAAACGCACGTTCAGATCTCTGATTGAACCAGCAAACTGTCAATCAACACAGGTCGGGTGAGTTAGTGCAGTTAGAAGGTTTTGGGGGGTTGCGAGTGTGAAATGTTTTATTTTGAAAAAATGTATAGGCTACTGTTAGGTTCTAAACAAGTTTATTCACCCACTGGGTCCCACAGCTGCATAAGACAAAGACATGTTTCCACCAGCACAAGTGTGTGTGTGTGTGTGTGTGTGTATATACCCCAATTTGGGTGAAGTATCCTCCCTTCCCTCTAAACATTATATGTTTATTGCTAGGCAGGAAGTTAAGTGATGCAGGCAATATACTGTTCCTTCTTCCTTAATGTGACCTGACCTCACTCCTCACTGATCCACAGCTATCATATAAAACACAGTTTAGCAATCTGCTACGGACGCATATTTGACAGAACGATAGGCTACCTGGTGATTTAATTGATAATTTTCAATCTTCAGAAAGTATTAAAACCCCTTTACTTTTTCCACATTTTGATGTGTTACAGCCTTCATTTAAAGCTAATTAAATTGAGACATATACCTACACACAATACCCCATAATGTTGAAGTGGAATTATGTTTTTAGAAATGTTGTCTTGAGTCAATAAGTATTCAACCCCTTTGTTATGGCAAGCCTAAATAAGTTCAGGAGGAAAACTTTGCTTATCAAGTCACTTAATAAGTTGCATGTACTCACTCTGTGTGCTTTAAACATGATTTTTGAATGACTACCTCATTTCTGTACCCCGCACATACAATTATCTGTAAGGTCCCTCAGTCGAGCAGTGCATTTCAAACACAGATTCAACCACAAAAACCAGGGTGGTTTTTCAATGCCTCTCAAAGAAGGGTACCTATTGGTAGATGGGTAAAGAAAAATATGCAGACATTAAATATCCCTTTGAGTATGGTGAAGTTATTAATTACACTTTGGATGGTGTATCAATACACCCAGTCACTAAAGATACAGATGTCCTTCCTTACTCAGTTGCCGGAGAGAAAGGAAACCGCTCAGGGATTTCATGAGGCAAACAGTTACTTAATGGCAGTGATAGGAGAAAACTGAGGATGGATCAACAACATTGTAGTTACTCCACAATACTAATCTAAATGACAGGGTGAAAAGGAAGCCTGTATGCAATAAGGCACTAAAGAACTGCAAAAAAATTCTGCTAAGAAATTAACTTTTTGTCCTGAATACAAAGTGTTATGTTTGGGGCAAATCCAACACGACACATCACTGAGTGCCACTCTTCATATTTTCAAGCATGGTGGTGGCTGCATCATGTTATGGGTATGTTTGTCATCGGCATGGACGAGGGAGTTTTTTAGGCTAAAAAGAAATGGAATAGAGCTAAGCATAGGCAAAATCCTAGAGGAAAACCTGGTTCAGACTGCTTTCCAACAGACACTGGGAGACATGCACCTTTCAGCAGGACAATAATCTAAAACACAAGGCCGAATATACAGTGCATTCGGAAAGTATACAGACTCCTTGACTTTTTCCACATTTTGTTACGTTACAGCCTTATTCTAAAATGGATGTTAAAAAATATATATATACCCCATAATGACAAAGCAAAAACAGGTTTTTAGAAATGTTGGCAAATGTATGAAACAAATTACTGAAATATCACATTTTACGTAAGTATTCAGAACCTTTACTCAGTACCTTTGGCAGCGATTACAGCCTCGAGTCTTCTTGGGTATGACACTACGAGCTTGGCACACCTGTATTTGGGGAGTTTCTCCCATTCTTCTCTGCAGATCCCCTCAAGCTCTGTCAGGTTGGATGGTGAGCGTCGCTGCACAGCTATTTACAGGTCTCTCCAGAGATGTTCGATCGGGTTCAAGTCCGGGCTCTGGCTGGGCCACTCAAGTACATTGAGACTTGTCCCGAAGCCACTCCTGCGTTGTCTTGGCTGTTTGCTTAGGGTCGTTGTCCTGTTGGAAGGTGGACCTTCACCCCAGTCTGAGGTCTTAAGTGCTCTGGAGCAGGTTTTCATCAAGGATCTCTCTGTACTTTGCTCTGTTCATCTTTGCCTCGATCCTGACTAGTCTCCCAGTCCCTGCCGCTGAAAAACATCCCCACAGCATGATGCTGCCACCACCATGCTTCACCGTAGGGATGGTGCCAGGTTTCCTCCAGACATGATGCTTGGCATTCAGGCCAAAGAGTTCAATCTTGGTTTCATCAGACCAGATAATCTTGTTTCTCATGGTCTGAGAGTCCTTTAGGTGCCTTTTGGCAAACTCCAAGCGGCCTGTCATGTGCCTTTTACTGAGGAGTGGCTCCCGTCTGGCCACTCTACCATAAAAACCTGATTGGTGGAGTGCTGCAGAGATGGTTGTACTTCTGGAAGGTTCTCCCATCTCTACAGAGGAACTGTAGAGCTCTGTCAGAATGACCATCGGGTTCTTGGTCACCTCCCAGACCAAGGCCCTTCTCCCCCGATTGCTCAGTTTGGCCGGCGGCCAGCTCTAGGAAGAGTCTTGGTGGTTCCACACTTCTTCCATTTAAGAATGATGGAGGCCACTATGTTCTTGGGGACCTTCAATGCTGCAGAAATGTTTTGGTACCCATCTCCAGATCTGTGTCTCGACACAATCCTGTTTCGGAGCTCTACGGACAATTCCTTTGACCTCATGGCTTGGTTTTTGCTCTGACATGCACTGTCAACTGTGGGACCTTTAATTAGACAGGTGTGTGCTTTTCCAAATCATGTCAAGGGGTATGAATACTTTTTGAAGGCACTGCACCTCAGTGGTGGTACTGTCTACATGTCTAAAGTAGGGGTATTAATCTCTTACCTTACGTGGTCCGGAGCCGGCTGATTTTCTGTTCTACCTGCTAATTAATTGAACACAATCAGTGGAACTGGCTTCGAGGTCCAGAGTTGAGTTTGAGGGGTCTGAAGATAGCTGTAAAAAATTTTATTACGATATTTGTGAGGAAGAAAATGGCTACAGACACCATGTTTTCCATCCGATCCTGCAACCTCCGCTGCATACAGGTAGGCCTTATGATCCTGCTTGCTCTAGACTCCAGAGAAGTGACAATGTGACATGATATCCCTAATTGATATTGATTGCTAACATGAATGACTTTCAGCTCAAAATGCAGGTGTAAAATGCTATTTATGCGTTTTGAAAATGCAGCACCGTTTATGGCTTTAATGACAGGCTACATTTGCGCAGCGATTGTGAGCACCTGTCCGCCCTGTGCGTGCCCGGGGGCTTTGAACCACTGATTTGGCAAACAGTTTGTTGGTTTTCTGTACGCCTACAGCTAGGATCAGGTGCAGTGCAAACGTTAAATTGTATGAAGAGTTTTGCCATAAATAAATATGCATCTCCCAAAACAATTGGTGATCAATAATATTAACTGTTTACTTTACAAGCTCACCAGCAGTGGGGCATCAAGCAACAATTACTAGCATAGGCCTACTGGTCTTTTGGTATGTCAAAATTGCTTGAAATTGATGATTTACTTATGAAGCTTGCATTTGGAATTTTGTTAAATTAATTATCACATAATCTAAATGTGTTATAGTCAAAATAATGAGAAGGGCTGTCTGGTTCCTCAATAAACAGATTTGTAGTTTAACAAGTATAGATGTTTTTTTACTTGACTTGAAGTTCCTCTGTGTCCACATCACTAAAGACCTATCATGGTCCAAACACACCAACACAGTCATGAAGAGGGCAAGACAGCGCCTCTTCCCCCTCAGGAGGCTGAAAATATTTGGCATGGGCTCTCAAAGTTATACAGCTGCACAATTGAGAGCATCTCGCTGCATCACCGCTTGCTATGGCAACTGATTGGCATCCGACCGCAAGGCGCTACAGAGGGTAGTGCGTACGTCCCAGTACATCACAGGGGCCGAGCTCCCTGCCATCCAGTACCTTTATACCAGGCGGTGTCAGAGGTAGGCCCTAAAAATTGTCAAACACTCCAGCCACCTAAGTCATAGACTGTTCTCTCTGCTACTGCACAGCAAGCGGTACTGGAGCGCCAAGTCTGGGACCAAAAGGTTCCTGAACAGCTTCTACCCCCAAGCCATTAGACTGCTGGACAGTTAATCAAATGGATACCTGGACTATTAACAATCATGACGCATGTGACAAATATATTTTGATTTGAGACTTGACTTGAAAAAATTTGACCCGTTCTATTTGGGACTCGACTTGAGACTCGGACCTTGAAACTTGCTTGCGACTCGAATAATAGTGACTTGGTCCAGCCTCTGGTGATGTATGACAAATGGATTTTACATGCTTGCTACCTAATTTTAAACCCCAGTGAAACCGGAAGCCATGGAAGGCCACAATACAATTCCTTAAGCTAAGATTAACTTTTATTTTTATGAATCTTTAGGGGTGCCAATTTTGTATTACTTGTTAAACAAAATGTCTTTCTCTGAGCAATTCTATTAATATAAAATTATGCATACAATGTAACTCAATATTTGTTTTGTTTTATACAGTCAATTTTGCTCATCTTTATTGAGGGTGCCAATAATTTGAGGTGACTGTACATTTACTTATTCACTGCCCAACAACACTGTCACTAGTATCAACCTTCACTAGGGATCAGAACCCTTGTCAAGCTCAACGACTCTGAATGACTCCAGTGTCTCTGCTGTCCATACAGCTCAAGTCGGTCATCAGTGTCAACTCAATTCAAGATTAGATTTGAATAGACTAAAATATACCCATGTCAGATTGGAATACATTGTGACCTGAAAGCTCTGCAATCCCCTGTTTCCAAAGGTTCGGTATGTACATTCCCTTTTTCCGGTTAAACTGCGACCTCCGCCGGGACTTGCCGCTCTCACCCATCGCTAGCATCGGGTCGAAGGAGGGGGGCAGCATGGGGCGTGGGCGGGACTACATGACGGCTCTGAAGGAGACATGGAAGCAGCACACCAGCCAGCTGTACGGGGTCCAGGCCATGCCCACACATGCCTGCTGCCTCTCCCCAGACCTCATCCGCAAAGAGGTGGAGTACCTGAAGATGGACTTCAACTGGAGGATGAAGGAGGTGCTGGTCAGCTCCATGCTCAGTGCTTACTACGTGGCCTTCGTACCTGTATGGTTTGTTAAGGTGAGTAAATATAACTGACTTCCCTGCCTTATCTTATATGTGTTGAGTGATCTGCTAATCCAGTTCTCTATGAAGTAGGGTGCTGTGACAGATTTGTTAAAGGAGGGTCTACCGTCAGAGCTCTCTTTGTTTTTGCACCATAGTGCAGCACTGTTATATATCGCCAATTAGATTTGTCAACATAATCTAGAATAGATACGGTGAGGGGAAAAAAGTATTTGATCCCCTGCTGATTTTGTACGTTTGCCCACTGACAAAGAAATGATCAGTCTATAATTTTAATGGTAGGTTTATTTGAACAGTGAGAGACAGAATAACAACAAAAAAATCCAGAAAAACGCATGTCAAAAATGTTATAAATTGATTTGCATTTTAATGAGGGAAATAAGTATTTGACCCCCTCTCAATCAGAAAGATTTCTGGCTCCCAGGTGTCTTTTATACAGGTAACGAGCTGAGATTAGGAGCACACTCTTAAAGGGAGTGCTCCTAATCTCAGTTTGTCTCAGAAGCAATCAATCAATCAGAATCCAAACTCTCCACCATGGCCAAGACCAAAGAGCTCTCCAAGGATGTCAGGGACAAGATTGTAGACCTACACAAGGCTGGAATGGGCTACAAGACCATCGCCAAGCAGCTTGGTGAGAAGGTGACAACAGTTGGTGCGATTATTCGCAAATGGAAGAAACACAAAATAACTGTCAATCTCCCTCGGCCTGGGGCTCCATGCAAGATCTCACCTCGTGGAGTTGCAATGATCATGAGAATGGTGAGGAATCAGCCCAGAACTACACGGGAGGATCTTGTCAATGATCTCAAGGCAGCTGGGACCATAGTCACCAAGAAAACAATTGGTAACACACTACGCCGTGAAGGACTGAAATCCTGCAGTGCCCGCAAGGTCCCCCTGCTTAAGAAAGCACATACATGCCCGTCTGAAGTTTGCCAATGAACATCTGAATGATTCAGAGGAGAACTGGGTAAAAGTGTTGTGGTCAGATTAGACCAAAATTGAGCTCTTTGGCATCAACTCAACTTGCCGTGTTTGGAGGAGGAGGAATGCTGCCTATGACCCCAAGAGCACCATCCCCACTGTCAAACATGGAGGTGGAAACATTATGCTTTGGGGGTGTTTTTCTGCTAAGGGGACAGGACAACTTCACTGCATCAAAAGGACGATGGATGGGGCCATGTACCGTCAAATCTTGGGTGAGAACCTCCTTCCCTCAGCCAGGGCATTGAAAATGGGTCGTGGATGGGTATTCCAGCATGACAATGACCCAAAACACACAGCCAAGGCAACAAAGGAGTGGCTCAAGAAGAAGCACATTAAGGTCCTGGAGTGGCCTAGCCAGTCTCCAGACCTTAATCCCATAGAAAATATGTGGAAGGAGCTGAAGGTTCGAGTTGCCAAACGTCAGCCTCGAAACCTTAATGACTTGGAGAAGATCTGCAAAGAGGAGTGGGACAAAATCCCTCCTGAGATGTGTGCAAACCTGGTGGCCAACTACAAGAAACGTCTGACCTCTGTGATTGCCAACAAGGGTTTTGCCACCAAGTACTAAGTCATGTTTTGCAGAGGGGTCAAATACTTATTTCCCTCATTAAAATTGATGTTTTTGTTGTTATTCTGTCTCTCATTGTTCAAATAAACCTACCATTAAAATTATAGACTGATAATTTCTTTGTCAGTGGGCAAACGTACAAAATCAGCAGGGGATCAAATACTTTTTTCCCTCACTCATTGCTTGATGCCTGCAGTTATAATGAGTCTCTGAGGTGCTGTGCTTTTCTGGCTGCTGACTCTGGTTGTGTGCTGGTCCTCTCCAGAGCACACAATACGTGGACAAGCGCTGGTCCTGTGAGCTCTTCATCCTGGTGTCTGTCAGTACCTCAGTTATCCTCATGAGGCACCTGCTGCCCCCACGCTACTGTGACCTGCTCCATAAGGCTGCAGCACACCTGGGCTGCTGGCACAAAGTGGACCCTTCTCTCTGCTCCAATGTCCTGCAGCACATGTAAGTACTACTAGTGAGGAGGCATCACAGCCTAGGGAGCGCTGATGATATCACTGAGGGTTTGGGAGGGACTATAACTCTGTAATTACGCTATTAATAACATGTATTAATATTGTTGTTACTCAGTGCCGTTTCTAGGCATAAGCGACATAAGCGTCCGCTTAGGGCCCCGCTTATGTCGCTTAGTAACAAAACAAATTAAGAAGTAAGTCGGGGTTTAAACTTACTGTTAGTTAGGATAGCAGAATAAACAACTTGTAATTTCAAAATTTGGTAGTGCATCAGCAGTTTTCCTCTTGTTAGGTCAGTCACTCAACATTCCATGAGACTTTTGAGAAAAACATGCAGGGCTTGACAGTAACCTGTTTATCCACTTGTCCTTCAGACATGGAGGTGACTGAAAACGTTATTGTGTTTGATGCAAGAAACCATTATTATTCCCATACCATTATTACAGAGAATAAGACAAATAATGCTACCCTCTGCCTATTGGCTACTTAGCTTATTCAAGCCTGTGTCAAAATTTTACACTGCCCCTTTAAGACATAAAAACATCTCTTTAGCTGACTTGCTTTACAAAGATGTCTAGAAATGTACACGTTTTGTGCTCTTGTAGGAAGCAATCACTCTCCTATTGCTGACTACAAATGATCTATAACTGGGCTAATAACTCATTAACTAGCAAAGGATATGAACAGAATGTGCACAGGTGGCTACATGAAGCTCTTGCTTTGATCTCAAAACAAGGGCATCTACTCACGACCCCAGCTGTAAACACAGTCCAGTTCAAAGTAAATGTCACAGATCCACATTATGGCAATGGGCTATTTGCATATAGGCCTACTGCAGCTCTGATTGGTTATGCCACACCGGTCTGTGTAGAGTACGGGCTGAGTCGTGCACAATAGAATCCTACTCTGATGCATTCTGCCTACAACAAACTCTCTTGTTGCATAGTTTGTTTTGTTTTGGTATGTTGAATTGAAAGTGGCTAATATTGCGTTGATTTGATCACAACTGCCACAGTAAATGGAAACGTTGATAGTGTTAAGTAACAGGAAAAACCCTATCTAGTGCTTCTCACCTTGGGCTGATTCTGCACGGCAGTCCCGGGGAGCTGCACTGCAGTCTCGGGCTACGGGAACATTGCTTGGTAGCTAGTTATGAGGTTGGGAGATTGGGAACCTAGCTAACTAAAGCCAACTTCATAAAATATCTAGGTGGCAAGTATTACAGAGAAACAACAAAACATTTTAGTTTTTTTTTAATTCATCAAGGAATCAATACATAGCTTGATCATTCATCAAATAATCAATATATAGCTTGATCAAATTAATTTACAAACATACCTCCTGTGAATCCTGCCCATCACCGGCAGCTACAATCTAATAGAATGCTGTGTCACTCTACTCGCTCTTTGCCCCGTCATATCTTCGCTTAAAAATGTTCAGTCATTAATGTAACATCTGAAATAAATCAAGAACAGGACTAATCTGAGGGGGCACATGCCCTTGTGCCCCCTATGGGCATGACACCTCTGTGTATATTACTAGGGTTATTACAGTGTTATGCCATCCGTATAACAACTGAATATAAATAATTCATCTGGTATTTGAACCCCCCTTTTTTGTTGTTGATAATAATGATGAAGACAAACTGAAAAAAGGCAGAAAGTGGGTAACGCATCATAAACATAAGAAAATCAAATGTACATTTTACATTTACATTTTAGTCATTTAGCAGACGCTCTTATCCAGAGCGACTTACAGTTAGTGAGTGCATACATTTTTCATACTGGCCCCCCGTGGGAAACGAACTCACAACCCTGGCGTTGCAAGCGCCATGCTCTACCAACTGAGCTACAGGGGACTAATAGCAACAGATACAATTTCATGGTACAATTAGTACAGATATGTCTTCAAAGCCATTCTCAGCAGGTAGCAGCATATATGATATCATGGTACAGTTAGTACAGATATATATTTTAAGAGCTATTAGCGGCAGATCGAGTTTCATATAGCAATCTCAAAAACTGCCAGTACAGCAAAATGCTGAGCATACAAATATTGATATTTTCATTGACAACGTGTGTGTACATGAAACACAGGCACTCGCTGGAACTTAGAAGGTTTAACTGCCTTCTAAGAGCCTCTCTCAATAAAGGACAAAGGGGGGGACCATACCTTTACAAATGTGGATCCACGGTTCTACAAATCCATTTAGTTAATTTCTCTAATGGCAAAAAGTCTGCAACCAGTTTTAACCATAGTTGAAAAGTAGGTGGATTGTAATTTTTCCAACACACGAATACATTTCATTGCAAAGTAGGAAATGGTTATTAGAAACCTGGGTCATGCAGAAAGACAATGATCCCAAACACACAAGCACGTCAACATCAGAATTGCTGAAAAGCAACAAATGTAATGTTTTGGAATGTCAAAGTCCAGACCTAAACCCCATTTGAAATATTATTGCAGGACCTGAAACGAGCAGTTCATTCTCAAAAAGCCACAAATGTTGCTGAGGTTAAAGCTGTTCTGCATGGAAGAGTGGGCCAACATTCCTCCACAGCGATGTGAAAGACTGATCAACAACTACAGGAAGCATTTGGTTGCATTCAATGCAGCTGAAGGTGGCACAACCAGTTACTGAGGGGCAATTACTTTTTCACATGGGCATTGTGTGTTGCATAACTTTGTTAATAAAATAAATGAAATAATTAGCAAAATGTTATGTTATTCAGGTTCCCTTTATCTAATATTAGATTTTGGTTGAAGATCTAAAAACATTCAGTGTCAAAAATATGAAAAAATAGATGAAATCAAATGGAGAAAATCAGGAAGGGGGCAAATACTTTTTCATGGCACTGTATGGAGGCCCACCTCTAAGAGCACATTGGGCAAGTCAGAGTTACAGGAAATAGGAGCAGGTAAAGAAAGCGTATTTGAAATACCCAAGTATTTTCTACAGTCTGCCCAAGCCATTAGTGTGTTGTACATAGTGAAGGTCTTTATTATCACAAATATGATAAAACTGATTTACAAACACAAGACTCTTCAGAGGTAAAGAAAGGCTTGATTTGAGATTCAATTTCAACCATAGGGAGTCCTGTCTGCCCATAATCCAGGACATCAAATTACGAGTTTGGGCAGACCCAGACCCCCCCATAGACTCAGGTTTGACCAGAGTAGAGTACTTAATTCTGGGGGTTTGTTAACACCATATAAACCTTAATACACATTTTATTCAGAGAATCAAAAAAATAATATGGTGAATAACAGGAAATCATTTGAATGAGATGATTAAATCTGGATAGAACGTTCGTTCATCCTCACTATGTTAATCCGTCCAATTGTAGTCACAGGGAGAGTGGACCAGCGAATCAGGTCTTTAATTTTGCCAATGAGGGGAGTGTAGTTTTCTTTAAACAGATTCTTAACGGCTGGGGTAAAATATTTTCCCAGATATATGCATCCATTTGGCTTCCAAGAGAAAGGACAGACTAAACTCTGTTTATCTGATAGCTGGCTATTTAACAGACAAGCGTTAGATTTACTAAGATTTGCTTTGTATCTATTTGAACCCTCTTCTCTCTCTTCCTCCTACAGATGGACGGAAGAGTACATGTGGCCCCAGGGTGTCCTGGTCAAACACAATAAGAATGTATACAAGGCCATAGGGCACTACAATGTGGCTGTCCCCTCAGATGTCTCCCACTATCGCTTTTACGTGAGTAACACCAACTGCAAGACTGTTCAAATCAAATCGAATTGTATTTGTCACGTGCCGAATACAACAGGTGTAGACCTTACAGTGAAATGCTTACTTACAAGCCCTTAACCAACAATGCAGTTTTAAGAAAGAATACCAAAAAACACAAAAAAATACAATATAAAATAATACGAAATAAAAGTAACAAATAATTAAAGAGCAGTAGTAAAAATAACAATAGCAAGGCTATATACAGGGGGTACCGGTACCGAGTCAATGTGCGGGGGCACCGGTTAGTCGAGGTAATTGAGGTAATATGTACAGTTGAAGTCGAAAGTTTACATACACCTTAGCCAAATACAATTAAACTCTTTTCACAATTCCTGACATTTTAATCCTAGTAAAAATTCCTTGTCTTAGATCAGTTAGGATCACCACTTTATTTTAAGAATGTGAAATGTCAGAATAATAGTAGAGATAATGATTTATTTCAGCTTTTATGTCTTTGATCACATTCCCAGTGGGTCAGAAGTTTACATACACTCAATTAGTATTTGGTAGCATTGCCTTTAAATTGTTTAACTTGGGTCAAACATTTCGGGTAGCCTTCCACAAGCTTCCCACAATAAGTTGGGTGAATTTTGGCCCATTCCTCCTGAGAGACGATTTTTCAGTTCTGCCCACACATTTTCTATAGGATTGAGGTCAGTGCTTTGTGATGGCCACTCCAATACCTTGACTTTGTCCTTAAGCCATTTTGCCACAACTTTGGAAGTATGCTTGTGGTCATTGTCCATTTGGAAGACCCATTTGCGACCAAGCTTTAACTTCCTGACTGATGTCTTGAGATGTTGCTTCAATATATCCACATAATTTTCCTTCCTCATGATGCCATCTATTTCGTGAAGTGCACCAGTCCCTCCTGCAGCAAAGCACCCCCACAGCATGATGCTGCCACCCCCATGCTTCACGGTTGGGATGGTGTTCTTCAGCTTGCAAGTACCCCCTTTTTCCTCCAAACATAACAATGGTCATTATGGCCAAACATTTCTATTTTTGTTCAATCAGACCAGAGGACATTTCTCCAAAAAGTACAATCTTTGTCCCTATGTGCAGTTGAAACCGTAGTCTGGCTTTTTTATGGCGGTTTTGGAGCAGTGGCTTTTTCCTTGCTGAGCGGCCTTTCAGGTTATGTCGATATAGGACTCGTTTTACTGTGGATATAGATACTTTTGTACCTGTTTCCTCCAGCATCTTCACAAGGTCCTTTGCTGTTGTTCTGGGATTGATTTGCACTTTTTGCACCAAAGTACGTTCATCTCTAGGAGACAGAACGCGTCTCCTTCCTGAGCGGTATGACGGCTGTGTGGTCCCATGGTGTTTATAGTTGCGTACTATTGTTTGTACAGATGAACGTGGTACCTTCAGGCGTTTGGAAATTGCTCCCAAGGATGAACCAGACTTTTTTGAGTTTGAAGCTAGGCCTTGAAATACATCCACAGGTACACCTCCAATTGACTCAAATGATGTCAATTAGCCTATCAGAAGCTTCTAAAGCCATGACATAATTTCCTGGAATTTTCCAAGCTGTTCAAAGGCACAATCAACTTAGTGTATGTAAACTTCTGACCCACTGGAATTGTGATACAGTGAAATAATCTGTCTGTAAACAATTGTTGGAAAAATTACTTGTGTCATGCACAAAGTAGATGTCCTAACTGACTTGCCAAAACTAGTTTGTTAATAAGAAATGTGTGGAGTGTTTAAAAAAACAAGATTTAATGACTCCAACCTAAGTGTATGTAAACTTCTGACTTCAACTGTACATATAGGTAGAGTTATTAAAGTGACTATGCATAGATAATAAACAGAGTAGCCGCAGTGTAAAGGGGGGGGGGGGGGGGGGGGGGGGGCAATGCAAATAGTCTAGGTAGCCATTTGATTATATGTTCAGGAGTCTTATGGCTTGGGGGTAGAAGCTGTTTAGAAGCCTCATGGACCTAGACTCCGGTACCGCTTGCCGTGCTGTAGCAGAGAGAACAGTCTATGACTAGGGTGGCTGGAGTCTTTGACAATTTTTAGGACCTTCCTCTGACACCGCCTGGTATAGAGGTCCTGGATGTCAGGAAGCTTGGCCCCAGTGATGTACTGGGCCGTACGTTCTTGTTTGCACCTCAGGCAGCCAATGCTGAAGGACTGTACTTCCAGACATTTGTTTGTTCAATAACAACATGCCTCCTCTTTTGTCTTTTTATCCTTTAGTTTTTCTTCAACAAGCCCTTACGAATATTGAACATCCTCATCATCTTGGAAGGTGCGATGATATTCTACCAGCTCTACTCGTTGATATGCTCAGAAAAGTGGCATCAGACGATATCCTTGGCTTTAATTCTCTTCAGCAACTACTACGCCTTCTTCAAGCTTCTCAGAGACAGAATAGTCTTAGGCAAGGCCTACTCATACTCCAATTGCTCATCCGACCAGAAGATAAGTTAGACATAAGTTATTGTTGGTTATTTGTCATGGAACAAGAAAACACGCATGAGAGCTTTGTATTTTTTCTACAACTGCATTTTGTGTCACTGATTTTGTTCTGAGCTGCCATAATAAAAATAAACATATTTTTGTATTCCTTTAAAGGTTCTGCCTGTGATTCTTTGTGGTTGAACTCTTGAGTTGACCATGCTGTCTGGTGTCTTTTCTTTCCCACTAGAGGGCTCCATACCACTCCTACAACTCTGTTTACTTATTTTCACCAACAGATGTCAATATAATTAATTTTTCAATATAGATATTAGATATAGAGTATTTCAATATAATCAAATTATTATTATTAACATTAACAATGTGTCATATCACAGCTAGATTGTTTCTCATTATTTTATAAAAATGTGCCAATTCGCAGAAGACATGGCTCCCTAAAACTGCTAAGAACTTGTGAAAAATAAAAAATAAATGTTACATTTCACCAGGGGCCTCGAGGCTCTCCACGCTGGTGGAATTGTTCTGAAGAATTGGTGTTTTTCCAAGGCTATCTTTCGAAAGAATCTTCTATTCAACCTTTTTTCTTGGCAAGCAGGTCCACCTGACAGAGCCGCATTGAATGCACTGCAGCATCTTTCAACAACCTGCCCATGGGACCTAAATTATCTGGCTTGCACTCTCCATCCATGCGCATCACCACTCAGACTTGTTGTGATGGGATAATTATAGTGAATGTTCCCGCTCATTGGATCCTATCCCAGTGGAAAAAATGTCTTGTCTGGCCCTTTAAGTGCAGGATAAAGACAGACTGGTCAGTGCGCTCCATTGCCGCGCTTGGGATTTTATTTAGCGTTTTCTATGGGGCTGTTGTCCGCAATACTCATGTATTATATGTTCTATTAATCAACCGTTATGAGGAAAATACGTGTTTGAGATGAGAAACATTCTGCAGGGGAAAGTGACGCGGTGTTCGTTTGACTGATTTTTCGTGCGTAATACACTCGGTAAGTGATCTATTGTCTTCTGATAGATGCATTTGTTCCTATAATTTACATGGTTTACTGCAAAATGCGCAATTTATAGTTTTTATTTATATATTGTACTCCTTTTTTCTTGTAGTTTAGATTATTGCGAGTGAATCTATTTATTTTACAGCTTAGTGGTGGATCAAGTTGACAGTGTGTGGTTAGTGGCCATCTTTGGACCACAGTAGTCCATTGATTTAAGTTCAGTTCAGTTGAGGATGGCTATAGCCTATTCTGTATCCCTTTAAAAAATAATTATTATTATTCATTGTATGAAAGAATAATAAATTAACCATTATAATACAACAACCGAATATAAGATGTTATACTATTTGGGCTAGGCTATAAAACGAAGAACCGTGCGCATCAACGTCCTAGAATAAACATTGGACATCCATATTTTGGTCTCAGGTCCAATCCACTGTCATTATCTCTTGCCCACGTAGCCGTCGGTTAAAAACATTTTATTAAATAAATATATTTTAATACATTTAAAGCAATATGTTTGCGGGATGCACACATCTATATCCATCTGATTTCTTGAAATTAAAAATAATATTGGTAAGAGTGAAATTTAGGCCTACAAGATATCACTAATCACTTCCAAGTAACATGAAGTTGTGAACATAACTTAGTTATTTTTGCCAATATGTTTTATTTAGAAAATTACACTTGCATGATTGTCCACGTGTTTTCAGCTATATCAGTTGAAAGACTTGTTTGCAATATGTTGTCAGACCAATTACAAAGAAATGATGCATTCTAAAAATACCTCAGTGGACCTGTTTCACACAGGCCTATTATACAGGGACAGACATTCTAAAATGAATCCTCATCATTGGATGTTTTTCCCATAAGCCTATAGTATTACCTGGATGTGTGACCTTGTTCACCTTGAACATTTACCAAGCTAGTCAAAATAATGAATATTTAAGAATATTGCAAAAGCCCAGGTGGGGGTATTAGGTTGGGTACATTCACCCTGGCAGCCATCCAGCCATGAATCCTTCTGCAGTGAACCCCTTTGTTGTTTGCCAGAGGATCTTGTCAGTGATAAGAGGCTACTTCAATTGAGCAGCCTGGTAGTATTCAAGATACAGCAAGTGCTACCATTTGAAATGAGAGAATTACATCAATTTGACATTTAGCAGGTCTACCAAGTAAAATGTCTGTTGTAGGGTGGTGGTTCACTCCAGTCCTGTCAGGGAGGGGAAGCACTAGCGCCTGACTTCCTACCGTTATTGTTGTTACAGGATGTCCTGAAGCTCAGGCAGGGTCCACTAATTTTACCCAGAGGACTTCACTCCAACAAGCCATGGAGGACAATCGTAAGAAGCGGAGCCCCAAAGTGTCTCTCCCCCAGCCCCCTCCTCCCCCGGTCAACCCCCGTAAGCTCTCAGTCCTCCCCTCCAGCAAGAGTGCCACCTTCTCCCTTGGCCTCCCCCAACCCCCCTCCCCAAAAAACAGAGGCAAGTTCAAGAGGTCCATTGGGGCAGCAGGACAGTCCAAAGATGTGCTCAGTGTGGTCGTAGCAGCTCCACCAAAGACCACAAGGTTTGTAACAGTCACAATGTCTACTTTTATCGGTCAAATTAGTTGGATTGACAAAATGTATATAAGAGGTTGAATTAATGTTACATTAGGGTACAGGTTGTGTTTACTGTTTCCTGTTGTCTGGTCTGTGTTCACCAGGCCTCATAAGGAGAAGGCCAGGGCTCCCCAGCCCGCAGGGCCCAGTAAGGTGGCCCAATCCTCCCCACTGCAGCACTCCTTCCTCACGGACGTCTCTGATGTGAGAGAGATGGAGGGAGGCCTCCTCAACCTGCTCAATGACTTCCACTCCGGAAAACTGCAGGCCTTTGGTAAGATGACCATGGAACACACTGTGAATACTGAGACACAGTTACACAGTGGAAATGCGGCCATTTGTTTGACATTGTGCCATAGTACCATGGTTACATAGAAAGTTATGTCTCTTTGACAGATATGTAAAAGTGTGTATGACCCTTGCTGTGTCCTCTCAGGGAAGGTGTGCTCCTTTGAGCAGCTGGAGCATGTGCGTGAGATGCAGGAGAAGCTTGCACGGCTACACTTCAGTCTGGACAGCCATGTGGAGGAGCTGTCAGAGGACAAGAGGAAGTGTGCCTCCGACCACAACCTGGAGCACCTGCTCTGCAATGTAAGCACCTGACCTAACACTCTACAATACTCAATGAATGATTTACTCACACTGTAGTACACAGCTCACCACAGTTTATGTCCTTACCTAGAACATACGCATTGGGCAAAAACTGGTTGAATCAACATTGTTTACATATCATTTCAACAAAAAAATGAAATGTGATGATGTTGAATCAACGTGGAAAACTGATTGGATTTGGAAAAAAAGTAATCAACGTAAGGGAATATAGTCTAATTTTCACCTAACTTTTAACTTAAATCCAATGGCGTGACATGTTTTGTTGATTTCACATTAGTTGAAAACTCAACCAAATGCACGTTGAACTGACGTCTGTGCCCAGTGGGTAGTGTCATGTTGAACCACACTAGTCAAGTGAAATGGTTATTTACATGCTGTTTGTAAATAAGCAGAATATGGTTATTCCCACACATGAATGTTTACATCCTAAGCAGATGCTCTTGAGTCATATATTTCTTCCAGCACACTGCTGTCTTTTGGACAACATCCAGTCCAAAAATGTGATAATTAATAATGCATGCTTTTCACATACTGTCCAGGCACACAGTAGTTGGCTGTGGAGAGGCAGCAAACAGTGAGATCGACAGACCAGAGACAATTTGACCTTAGGCTCAAAATGTCTAATGTGTCTATTGTTAGTTCGATTTCTAGGATCCACTGCTGTGGTGTGGTATTTGTGCTGGGGGGGAATTGCTGTGGTATGTGTGAGGGTGGTGTGAAAGCCCTTCAGCTCATTATATATATGGGTGCCAAGAATACTCTGTAGCCATAGCAGCAGAGGATAATGTAGCAGCAAAACAGATGGGCTGTGAAATTACATTTTCACTGTTTAAATTAATGGCGCCGGAGGGGATGGCTGCCGTTTTATGGACTCTTAACCAACCTGCTATTTTGTGTGTTTTTCGCATTGTTTGTAACTTATTTTGTACATAATGTTGCTGCTACTGTCTCTTATGACCGAAAAGAGCTTCTGGACATCAGAACTGCAATTACTCACCTTGAACTGGATGAATAATTTTTCTTTAATGAGTCGGACGAGAGGGATTTGCTCCAGACACCCGACAGGGCCCTCATCCCTGTCATTCGCAGTAGAAAGAAAAGGAGATATTGCGGAATGAGATCGAGGGTGCTTGGTAAGGAGCCGGCGACGAGTGGCTAATCTGCCTTTGCCATCAGCACTCTTGGCCAACTTACAATCGCTTGATAATAAAGTGGACGAACTACAGGCACGAATATCCTACCAACGTGACATTAAAAACTGTAATATCTTACGCTTCACCGAGTCATGGCTGAACGAAGACATGAATAACATACAGCTGGTGGGTTATACACTGTATCGGCAGGATAGAACAGCAGCCTCTGGTAAGACAAGGGGTGGTGGTCTATGTATATTTGTAAACAACAGCTGGTGCACGATATCTAAGGAAGTCTCAAGGTTTTGCTCGCCTGAGGTAGAGTATCTCATGATAAGCTATAGACCACACTATCTACCAAGATAGTTTTCATCTATATTCTTCGTAGCTGTCTATTTACCACCACAACCCGATGCTGGCACTAAGACCGCACTCAATGAACTGTATACGGCCATAAGCAAACAGGAAAACGCTCATCCAGAGGTGGCGCTCCTAGTGGCCGGGTACTTTAATGCAGGGAAACTTAAATCCATTTTACCTCATTTCTACCAGCATGTTAAATGTGCAACCAGAGGGAAAAAAACTCTAGACCACCTTTACTCCACACACAGAGACGCGTACAAAGCTCTCCCTCGCCCTCCATTTGGCAAATCTGACCATAATTCTATCCTCCTGATTCCTGCTTACAAGCAAAAACTAAAGCAGGAAGCACCAGTGACTCGGTCAATAAAAAAGTGGTCAGATGAAGCAGATGCTAAGCTACAGGACTGTTTTGCTAGCACAGACTGCAATATGTTCCGGGATTCTTCCGATGGCATTGAGGAGTACGCCACCTCAGTCACTGGCTTCATCAATAAGTGCATCGATAACGTCGTACCCACAGTGACTGTACGTACATACCCCAACCAGAAGCCATGGGTTACAGGCAACATCCACACTGAGCTAAAGGGTAGAGCTGCCGCTTTCAAGGAGCGGGACTCTAACCCGGAAGCTTATAAGAAATCCCGCTATGCCCTCCGACGAACCATTAAACAGGCAAAGCGTCAATACAGGACTAAGATCTAATCGTACTACACCGGCTCCGATGCTCGTCGGATGTGGCAGGGCTTGCAAACTATTACAGACTACAAAGGGAAGCACAGCCGCGAGCTGCCCAGTGACATGAGCCTACCAGACGAGCTAAATTACTACTATGCTCGCTTCGAGGCAAGTAACACTGAAACATGCATGAGAGCATTGACTGTGTGATCACGCTCTCCATAGCCGATGTGAGTAAGACCTTTAAACAGGTCAACATTCACAAGGCCGCAGGGCCAGACGGATTACCAGGACGTATACTCCGAGCATGCACTGACCAACTGGGAAGTGTCTTCAATGACATTTTCAACCTCTCCCTGTCTGAGTCTGTAATACCAACAAGTTTCAAGCAGACCACCATAGTCCCTGTGCCCAAGAACACTAAGGTAACCTGCCTAAATGACTACCGACCCGTAGCACTCACATCTGTAGCCATGAAGTGCTTTGAAAGGCTGGTCATGGCTCACATCAACACCATTATCCCAGAAACCCTACACTCACTCCAATTTGCATACCGCCCCAACAGATCCACAGATGATGCAATCTCTATTGCGCTCCACACTGCCCTTTCACACCTGGACAAAAGTAACACCTATGTGAGAATGCTATTCATTGATTACAGCTCAGTGTTCAACACCATAGTGCCCTCAAAGCTCATCACTAAGCTAAGGACCCTGGAACTAAACACCTCCCTCTGCAACTGGATCCTGGACTTCCTGACAGGCCGCCCCCAGGTCGTAGGGGTAGGTAACAACACATCTGCCACGCTGATCCTCAACACGGGGGCCCGTGCGTGCTCAGTCCCCTCCTGTACTCCCTGTTCACTCATGACTGCATGGCCAGGCACGACTCCAACACCATCATTAAGTTTGACGATGACACAACAGTGGTAGGCCTGATCACCGACAACGATGAGACAGCCTATAGGGAAGAGGTCAGAGACCTGGCCGTGTGGTGCCAGGACAACAACCTCTCCCTGATCAAGACAAAGGAGATGATTGTGGACTACAGGTAAAAGAAGAGGACCGAGCATGCCCCCATTCTCATCGACGGGGCTGTAGTGGAGCAGGTTGAGAGCTTCAAGTTCCTTGTTGTCCACATCACCAACAAACTAACATGGTCCAAGTACACCAAGACAGTCGTGAAGAGGGCACGACAAATCCTATTCCCCCTAAGGAGACTGAAAAGATTTGGCATGGGTCCTCAGATCCTCAAAAGGTTCTACAGCTGCACCATCGAGAGCATCCTGACTGGTTGCATCACTGCCTGGTATGGCAACTGCTCAGCCTCCGACCGCAAGGCACTACATAGGGTAGTGCGTACGGCCCAGTACATCACTGGGGCCAAGCTTCCTGCCATCCAGGACCTCTATACCAGGCGGTGTCAGAGGAAGGCCCTAAAAATTGTCAAATACTCCAGCCACCCTAGTCATAGACTATTCTCTCTGCTACTGCACGACAAGCGGTACTGGAGCGCCAAGTCTAGGTCCAAGAGGCTTCTACCCCCAAGCCATAAGACTCCTGAACATCTAATCAAATGGCTACCCAGACTATTTGCATTGCATCTTTTACGCTGCTGCTACTCTCTGTTTATTATCTATGCGTAGTCACTTTAATAACTCTACCTACATGTACATATTACCTCAATTACCTTGACTAACCGGTACCCCCTGTATATAGCCTCGCTATTGTTATATTTACTGCTGCTCTTTAATTATTTGTTATTTTTATTTCGTATTATTTTATATTGTATTTTGTATGATTTAAAAAATATATTATTTCTTAAAACTGCATTGTTGGTTAAGGGCTTGTAAGTACGCATTTCACTGTAAGGTCTACTACACCTGTTGTATTCGGCGCATGTGACAAATAAAATGTGATTTTATTTAAATTAGCTAGAAGAATTTAACTTAATCATTTGGGCTTATTTAGGACTTACGAACAGTAATACAATGATAGATGTGGTGAAATGATGTTGAGTATTGATCTAACATTCTGTAGGCTATTGTTGTGTAAAGCCTATGCTTCCATCTAATGAATTTTGACTTAGATTACCTCAACATTGGACTATATAATCTGATCATGTACTTCATTTCCCCTTCAGCTGGAGGAACTCAGCAGCTCAATGTATCCTTTTCTAAAAGTTGTCTTGTAATCTCTGGGATTCACCTGGCTCACCAGGGAAAACACTGGCTTTGAATCATCTATATTTAGCTTGAATCCTTAACGTGTCTGTGTTGGATCCTTAATGTACCTTTGTCCAGACAAAAACTACACCTGGCTGAAAACCAGGACCTGTCCAAGACTTCTGGACCTTGACGAGAGAGATTAGGATGACAGATTGCTCATCATCCCATGACGACGAGGAAAGGTTGCCATTATATTGATCCAACTGCCTTAGCACCAAAACTGGGCCACATAGAGCCCCTGGTTAGATAAAGATTTATATATGATTGATTCAATCAGGTGTCAACTGTCAAGCACATCAACTGTGATCTAGCGATAAATACTCCACATTCATAGCACAAGTTCTGCTTATTTTAGTTATAGCACTGTACTGTAGTCTACATCTTTTGTCAAGGAATATTCCGAAAGTTAAAAAATAGCCTTTGAACTTATACTTGTATAGAGTGCAGCGGCAGGGTATGCTACTGAATCCTGTTATTTGTGTGTGTGCACATCTGTAAAGGGGACAAGATATCCACCATCTTTATCCAACTCTCTATTTCAGAGGCACACATACTTTATAATCTAAGTGAGAAAGGTTGCTGTAATGCTAGGCATTGATAGACATTGATATTGTGCATTTTCTCATTAATCGTCATATGATCATTTCTTTACTGAAATTAAGGACATCATTATATATCTTTGATTGCTGAATATACAGTGGGGAAAAAAAGTATTTAGTCAGCCACCAATTGTGCAAGTTCTCCCACTTAAAAAGATGAGAGAGGCCTGTAATTTTAATCATAGGTACACGTCAACTATGACAGACAAAATGAGGGAAAAAAATCCAGAAAATCACATTGTAGGATTTTTTAATGAATTTATTTGCAAATTATGGTGGAAAATAAGTATTTGGTCAATAACAAAAGTTTCTCAATACTTTGTTATATGGGGTTGAGATCTGGAGACTGGCTAGGCCACTCCAGGACCTTGAAATGCTTCTTACGAAGCCACTCCTTCGTTGCCCGGGCGGTGTGTTTGGGATCATTGTCATGCTGAAAGACCCAGCCACGTTTCATCTTCAATGCCCTTGCTGATGGAAGGAGGTTTTCACTCAAAATCTCACGATACATGGCCCCATTCATTCTTTCCTTTACACGGATCAGTCGTCCTGGTCCCTTTGCAGAAAAACAGCCCCAAAGCATGATGTTTCCACCCCCATGCTTCACAGTAGGTATGGTGTTCTTTGGATGCAACTCAGCATTCTTTGTCCTCCAAACACGACGAGTTGAGTTTTTACCAAAAAGTTATATTTTGGTTTCATCTGACCATATGACATTCTCCCAATCCTCTTCTGGATCATCCAAATGCACTCTAGCAAACTTCAGACGGGCCTGGACATGTACTGGCTTAAGCAGGGGGACACGTCTGGCACTGCAGGATTTGAGTCCCTGGCGGCGTAGTGTGTTACTGATGGTAGGCTTTGTTACTTTGGTCCCAGCTCTCTGCAGGTCATTCACTAGGTCCCCCCGTGTGGTTCTGGGATTTTTGCTCACCGTTCTTGTGATCATTTTGACCCCACGGGGTGAGATCTTGCGTGGAGCCCCAGATCGAGGGAGATTATCAGTGGTCTTGTATGTCTTCCATTTCCTAATAATTGCTCCCACAGTTGATTTCTTCAAACCAAGCTGCTTACCTATTGCAGATTCAGTCTTCCCAGCCTGGTGCAGGTCTACAATTTTGTTTCTGGTGTCCTTTGACAGCTCTTTGGTCTTGGCCATAGTGGAGTTTGGAGTGTGACTGTTTGAGGTTGTGGACAGGTGTCTTTTATACTGATAACAAGTTCAAACAGGTGCCATTAATACAGGTAACGAGTGGAGGACAGAGGAGCCTCTTAAAGAAGAAGTTACAGGTCTGTGAGAGCCAGAAATCTTGCTTGTTTGTTATTGACCAAATACTTATTTTCCACCATAATTTGCAAATAAATTCATAAAAAATCCTACAATGTGATTTTCTGGATTTTTTTTCCTCTCAATTTGTCTGTCATAGTTGACGTGTACCTATGATGAAAACTACAGGCCTCTCTCATCTTTTTAAGTGGGAGAACTTGCACAATTGGTGGCTGACTAAATACTTTTTTTCCCACTGTATGTACACAGCCATATAATCAACTGTAGCAAAAATAACATGTTAGCCCATGTTGTCAAAGCCACTGTGGGTCAGCTCAGCACCTTGGGATGTTCGTCCTGATTTTAATACCTTCTAGCAAAACATTTATTATGATTAGGAGGGACACACTGGATGTGGTGGTTAGAAACACAATGTTTATAAATATTTTATGGTTTATAAAGCTAAAGAGAGTACTTGAACAGTGTGAGATATAAATTGTATATGTTGGTGAAATTTAACTATGTGAGGGAATGTCTAAAATTGATGACTACAGTCTGAAAATGTCATTGTAGCTTCTCAAACTGGACATTTTCTCACAGCTATGTCAAGAAATTGTTAAACCAAGGTATAATGACATTTGCTGGCTCTGCATTGGCAATGAGCTGCCTTAGTTTAGAATATTCTGGCATTTGAGGCTCAGCAGTAGCAGTAGCAACCGTCCAAAGCACAAGCCAGCCCAACCAGCCACTGCAATGCTGTAACATGGATAGACAGACATTTGGGCCATGGCTATTTACCCTTATCCACTAATGGTAGATGTCAAATGTAATTGTGGGTGCAAACATCTGATGTGTGTGTATGAAGAGAACATGTTGTAGAAACATGCATAAACACATACACTGCAAGATACTACTACATTCAAATAACATAATGCAGGACTTAATTTTTGCAAAGTAGTTTAGTCTTTGTGATAGAAACCTATAACCATCATTTTCACAAGGCAGCTGCTCTCCATTTGCTGTGATTTTCATACAAGTTGCTCAACTCTAAACCAAACTAGTATGCCTAGATCATATACTCATTTCTAAGACGATTAATGTGTAATTCGTTTGAAAAGTTCTGCATGTTGTGTGTATGGGACCAGAGAGTCACTTTCTTTGGTTCATTAGAAGTGTAAGATTGAAAGCTTTGTTTTACGTCACCTTGCCAAGCCTACCTCTTTTTCCAATATGGCCTGGACCTGAGTCCTATAAGAACTGTAGCTTCTGACTACTAGGACCCTGTTACATATCTGTCGATGAGAACTACCTTCAAGGAACTTGACATTTTATACAATCTTGTCTTTTGCTTTGCTATTAAGTCCCTGTGTTTTGCACAGTCATGTCACATGACCAGGGGTGTATTCATTACAGAAACAGTTGACTGTTTAAGAACCAAACGGAATGAAACTGGGAGGGACCTACCTGTCCAATAGAAACTCGTTTGCGTTTTCTGTTTGGAGTAAACGGTTTGTTGCAAAACGTTTTGCAACAGAAAACGTAATTACTACACCCCTGGATTTAAAAAATATATTTCAACAAAAGGTCCCCTTTTCTTTTTATGTCAGATGGTCCAGCACCATCCTTAGACAATTGCTTACATTTTTGGTGTGAATCTCATTTCTGGAAAAGGCTTAAAATAAAGGTCATGTGATATGAAAGCCCAAAACACAGGGCCCTAACTTTGTAATTTAACCCCTGCAAAACTAATTGTATTTATTTACTTGTAAATAAAAGTAAATCGGTGACAGTCTTGTTTTAACTGACTCAGATGCTCAATCTTGCATGTAGTGATTGAAATAGATCCTTACCTTACAGCGCCATCTTCCTCAAGAGTGACCAGGCACACATATCCTCTTTTTCCCTTTGGGGGACACGAGGCAACAAGGTCAACCACACTGACGCATTACAATGATAGTATAAGCAGGCAAGTGGGTTTCCTCGCAATGAAGAACTTCTCACTCATTTTTAGGCATAAGAATTAAACCAACTGGAGCACTTAGTTTACAGAAATAAACACTTTATTTATATATCAATATCTGTCTTTCCTCTTGTTAATACACAAGTTCAATATAATTTAAACAGAATAGTGAAAGGCTACTTCAAGACTGGCACTATACTGAAACAGAATCACAGGCCTGGGCTTCACCGTCTCTGTATCAATCGTTGGTTTAAAGCTAAATGGTTTCAATGTTATACCCACAGTTGATTTAGGCATCGGTGTACATATCTTTTAGAAAGAAATAACAATTTTTTTGATTCCCTGTCAGTACATTTTGGTCATAAAACAACAAAAAATAAGGTATGTCACAACACCACTTCAACAAATTGTTACAATAGGACTTTCAAACCATTTACAATTGATAAATTATAAACTGCAACATTGTACAGCATACAAATTAGGCTAATACTATGCAATCACACATTTGAGCTAAACAAAAGTAATTTGATATCATTAATCTTCACTGACAAATCTTTAAAAACAACCGTATAAGACATCTTAGAAATATCACATATTACATTTAATGAAACAGCAAAAATATACATATTTCGGTCCCGTTTCCTTTTTGTGCATTTAAAATGGTACATTCTTCGCAATGTCTCTGATTTGAGTACAATAAGATTCATAAACAAATACAGCGACAATCATATTACGATACATCCAATGCAACATACATGACGACAACTATAATGACAGTGAACTACTTCTTCAAAGTGCAAAGAGAGCAGGTTGTTGAGAGTAAGACCTGATGCCAACAGCTGAAGCCTGCCTGTCTGCCTGTGCTCCTTTATTGAAGGATACCATAACTTGCTGAGAAGAGAGTTGATTTAAGGGCTCTCATCTTAAAGGACTTTCTATACTCTGTAATGTTAAAAAAGTGCAGGCACTATTAGAAATGCAGAACATCTCTGTCTTCAAGTAAGGTCAGTGTTTCTGTTCTTCTGTCTGTGGGGGTTTGGTTGTGTTTTGAAGGTTGTGTTTTCTGAGGGGCCCTCGGGGGGAAGGGAGGGTCCTCAGGAGCTCGTTGAGGCCCTTGTGGACGTTGGCATGCTGGGAGGCGGCGCACTCTGCCAGCCCAGGCCCCATGTGGGTGTAAAGGGCTTGGCACAGGTTGGCAGTGGCCCCCCGCACGCTGCCGCCCCGGCCGTGGACGGTGCCGCTGTGGCTGGAGGTGCCCAGGAGGTGCCACAGCAGGGGTAACACCTTCTGTTCCACCACCTGGGGCTTACGAGGATACAGCTCTGTCACCAGATCTGAAAGACAGGCCAGAAGATGAGGGAAGGGAAGTAGGGGGAGGTGGGAAGAGGCAAGGGAGTCAAACACGTAACAAGGAGTTTATGAAATGCTGAGAGCATATGACACTGACACATCTGTTTCTCCCTCCTTTTAAGGCTAAAGACTCCTTGGAGGGCAGGCAGAAAGACAGTTCCCATAGCACTGTTGCTTAGCAGCTGTTGTAAACTCAGATCATAATCCAAATGTTAAAAATCTAATGAAGTTTACAAAGTATCATCTACATAACCTAGGTTGCTAAGGGGATTTATCTCAAGCAAACTGTTTCAGTGAACATACCTGCAACCTTCTCTATGAGATCCACCTTAGCCTTGCCACTCAGGAACTGGGCCTTGGTGCAGAAGGGCTGGAGGAGGAGGGTTGTATCTGTGAACAAAGTAAAGCACAAAGTCTAGTTAGAGATGGTCATCCTCTCAGCTACGTTCGAGCCTTGCATGGAACCTCAAACCAGATGATGTGATCTCAAAAATCAGACACCTACCAAGGTTTTGGATGAGTGCGTGGATGGCTCCAATGGCAGCGGTATAGATAGCATTGTTCTTGGAGTTGAGGTGATTGTCCACGATGGCCGGGACCAGGATGTAGACTACCTGGGCCAGGTTATCCTTCATCACAGTGACGATCTTCTGCAGAGACTCCAGAGCGTACAAGTTGACCTTACTGTTGGACTCCTGCAGTCTGGCCTTAAAGGCATCAAACACCTGGGAGAGAAGCATTACTATAGATTCAACTATGACCTACTTACACAGGTCCTCTTATCTAGGGGCATTTACATGGTTTATATTTTGTCAATAAAAGTTATAGTTTTCTTTGTGATAGTCAGAGGACTTCGGCAATTTGCAGCTTAGGATATATAATAGTGAGCGCGGGTTGACTCATAACCCGCTGTCTCTGCAGTTATATCCGTGAGGCAGGCAGGTTTAGGGTCATGGAATATTGTGTGGATGAAGGGAGGGTGGGTGGCGGACGGGTTGAATAAAGAGAAAACAATACCTTAAACAGGGCTCGAAATTAACGCTTGTCCTCTTGTCCAGGAACAAGTAAAACAAATAATTGGACAAGAAGAGTATAGATTTCAATTTCAATTGTCTGAATGGACAAGATCTTTGATGCATCTTTAGACCCCCCCCCCCCCTTCCTTCCTTAATTTCTAACAGATATTTTCATCTCTGTCACATGAAACTGCTAGCTCGTGCGGCACGCTTTTGAAAACGATGTTTTCCCGCTAATTGCATTTTGGAACATTTGCGCGCAGCCTACAGCCATGTGCACATTGTTGAGCTTATAATATGAAGAAATAAAACGATCAACATTTTAAGCTAAAAGGTCTGATCTGTTGCATCAGCCTCATTGCTTTTTTAAATTTTTTTATATGCAGTGGTCGTATGAATTTTGAATCAGTTGTCCCAGAACTGTCCCAGAGTCTGTTTTGAACCATATACATATTTTTTTTATCATCCCAGGGACGACAGGACGCCCTTAAGGAGGGAGTTATTTTATAAAGACATAAAAAGTATTTGGTTGTAATTGTAACCATCCTCCAGGAGAGCCTTAAAGGGGCAGTGTTGTATTTTGAATATGCAAAGAAGCCAATAGCCAGAGTATAACCTACATTTTTGTCTGGTTCTCTATGGTAAAAAATAAAATAGTAATGCATTTTATTTTGTAAAGTGGAATGCTTGCATCATACCATGATGTACAAATGGTGTTTCTATTTCCTTACAACCGGTCAAACTGATGTCCCTTGGAAATGTTGCACAGAAAATCTTTCCTGTATTTTTTAAAATGTTCTCCCCGGTCCCTAAACGTCTTTGCTCCGCGAAAGAAGCAGAGATCACAGAGAAAAACTTGTCAACTACATTGAAGCTACATTGAAGCATTCATTCTATCGATTTATGACATTATTCTGGTGAGCAAGGCTTTATTTAGTCTTCTGGGGCAACATATAATGACAGAAGAGAAGCTGTTGGAAATTAGGCTATATGCAGAAACATATCTAAATCAGGCAACAACAAAAAAAACTGCACCCCTTGTCAAAAAATCGTTTAGCCATCTCTGACTGTAGCCTACAGCGCATTTTCTATATTAGCGGGTTAGGTGCGGGCCTCAGATTTTCCCATTATCACATATAGTCGGGCGGTTGTGGATGGGTTATTAGCAATTGCGGGCGGGTGCGGGTGAACAAACATCTGACCCACGCAACACTAGTATATAAGGCTAAAGAATATCTGGTATTGTTTAGATGACATCAGTTACCGGAAAGATGCTGCCGATGACTATGTTGGGGTTGTGCTCGCAGTCCACCACTATCTGGTCAATGCCCTTGATGCGCTCTCTGAAATCCTTTGAACCCAGCTGGGCTGTGAGCTGCTTGATGTACTCGGTCTTGTCTGCAATGCTGTGAGCTTGAGGTCTGCTGCTGTACTGCCCAGACTCCCTGCAGATACACAAACAGTAGGTAAGACATGGAGAGGGGAGTTCATACTGACACATGAACAAACTGTACATACAATGACACAAACTGTGCTAATGCATGGACAAACAGCACAGCTAGCCATGGCTTTATTCATAACAGTTCAGTATGCTAGGGATGTAAACTTGATGAGACTGACGTGCTACACATTTCAGTTGGTGTTGTCGTGTTTGCCCACCTGTTGACCACTTTGAGGGGTTCCCTGCTGAGAGATGAGGCCCTCACTGTGCCACTGCCAGGGAGGGAACGCCGGCCCCTGGCTGACGGGGTGTCCTGGGGCATCTCTCCAAGGCCCTTCAGACCACATTAACACACATGTAACCACTGCTTCCTTAAAGGCCCAGTGCAGTCAAAAACGCGATTTTCCTGTGTTTTATATACAGTATATTTCCACACTATGAGGTTGGAATAATACTGTGAAATTGTGAAAATTATGATAACGCCCTTTTAGTGCAAGAGCTGTTTGAAAAAACTGCCTGAAATTTCACCCTGTTTTGGTGGGATGGAACTTTGGCCTGCCTGGTAGTAAATTAGTGAAATGACCAATAAGAAAAAGAGTTCCAAACCTCTCTACCAATAACAGCAAGTTTTCCGTTTCCCACTCAGACCACTCCCAGACAGTCCTAGCAGAATTCTTGCTTGAGAAATTGCTATTTGCTAAGAAGCTATTTTTGTTTATTTTTGACCATTTTAAATCACAGTAAGGTACTTAATTGTTGCCCAGAAATGATTTCATATTGAGATAAAAACAGCTGCATTGGACCTTTAAAGTAAAAGTGTCTTGTCTCAAAACGCAAGCCCCCAGCAGGGGGAGACAAAAATAGACAGGAATGACTCATAACAGTCACACACACCTTCTCAGTTAGACAGTGTTCTGTACCTTAGTCTTCAGTGTGAAGACAGTGTCTCTGATGGGAGCCAGGTCTTTGGCAGGGATATATTTCTCCAACATCTTATCAAAATCAGGGTGCGATGACAGAAACAGCAGCATCCGGCGTCCCTGGTACCTGAGGAGAAGAACAGCCTCAAACAATGCCACATTCTATTGATAACAGACACACTTACTAGTATTAAAAACAGACATACGTTGGTTTTTAACAAAATTCCCTCCCTACCTAGCTTCCTGGGAGGAGTCTTGTGACAGCTTGGTGACGGCAGGTAGGATTCGGTCGGTGAGGTCTTTCCCTCCAGATAGCAGGCGGGCAGTGCCAATGTTCTCCATCAGGTTGACCATGTGATGACCTGCGCACTTCCTCACCACTGAGTTCAGGTGACTGTTCACAAGAGACAATATCAGGGATGTGGTCAGCACCACATAGAAAATAAAGCCTAATGGCCCACTTTAATGATAAGATACAAGCATGGTAAGATTTAATATCTTCAAGCAAAGCATGTAATTCAAGTACTGGTGCTGAACTGCTGATAGTGCTAGTTGGTGACCGTGAGTGTGTGTCTGACCTGAGGCCGCTGGTGAGCAGGGCGCTGAGGCTGCGGGTGGGGGTACAGTGTTGCACCATGCTGTCCAGCGCTGCGTCCACGTCCTGCCTGATGAAGGCATTGGACTCCCCAGCCTTCTGCAACAGAGCCTTGGCAGTGCCCTCCAGCTCCTGGTCCATCCCCTTCTGCAGTGCGGTGTACAGCTCACCCATCGCCCCCACAGCAACACGGGACACACCCGACCGAAGGTTCCTCACCTGGGGAGCAATACACTCAGATGACGATGATGACGATGATGATGATATTGAATCAGCTAGATAATTTTTTTTTCAGCCATCTCACCAAGGGCTTGAATGGTTACATTGCCTCATCAGGATGTAGGAAAATCAGTCATTAAACAGCTAGAGTCTACAAGGACCACCCTGTCTTGAATTGATTGAGGCTGAGATTATGATTAGAAGGAAGAAAATAGATTGGATGAGGGTCCCCAGGACAATGGACTGCACATTAACATTTATATAAGACTAAAATAATGAGGAGTCGTGGTCATACCTCTTGGATGAGTGCGAGACAGACGTCATGCAGCCTGTTCAGCAGTATGTCTGAATGGTACAGCGTCAGACCACGGAGAAAGGTGAGGCCTTCGATCTTCTTCTCCCTTCATTAATAAATAGAGAAATAGAAATTGAGTAATTCCAATCCATTGCTTATATGCATCCAAAAACTATAAAATTGACATTTGAAGTAGGGTCTGACTAGACAATGTTTAAGTATAGCATGGGGTTAAATGCTAGCGGTGGGGTTCAGTTGGACCCCAGGAGGTTTAGTGGTTGCTAAAACGTCAGCTAATAGGGATCCAAATCGAGAATAAAGCTCACCAGTCGTCTGAGTTGAGGAGTTTGAAGCTCTGTGTCAGTGCTAACTCAGGTTTGGAGAACGGCCGTAGTTCAGGTTGCTCTGTCAGGTCACTCTTCTGGCTGGGAGTGCCTGGGGACAACTCATCTGGAGGAAACAACCACATAATTAAATACAACACAATTATGATGGAAATTTCCCACATTTTGTTACGTTACAGCCTTATTCTATAATGGCCTTATTGGTGGAGTGCTGCAGAGATGGTTGTCCTTCTGGAAGGTTCTTCCATCTCCACAGAGGAACTCTGGAGCTCTTTCAGAGTGACCATCAGGTTCTTAGTCACCTCCCTGACCAAGGCCCTTCTCCCCCGATTGCTCAGTTTGGCCAGGTGGCCAGCTCTAGGAAGAGTCTTGGTGGTTCCAAACTTCTTCCATTTAAGAATGATGGAAGCCACTGTGTTATTGGGGACCTTCAATGTTGACAGTGCTGTTTTTTGTACCCTTCCCCAAATCAGTGCCTCGACACAATCCTGTCTTGGAGCTCTACGGACAATTCCTTCGACCTCATGGCTTGGTTTTTGCTCTGACATGCACTGTCAACTGTGGGTCCTTATATAGACAGGTGTGTGCCTTTCCAAATCATGTCCAATCAATTGAATTTACCACAGGTGGACTCCCAAGTTGTAGAAACATCTCAAGGATGATCAATGGAAACAGGATGCACCTGAGCTCAATTTCGAGTCCCATAGCAAAGGGTCTGAATACTTATGTAAATAAGGTATTTCTGTTTTTTTATTTTCTGTAAAAAGTGAAGGGGTCTGAATACTTTGCCTTCAGAAAGTATTCACACCCCTTGACTTAATCCACATTTTGTTGTGTTATATTTAATTCATTTTGAATTCAGGCTGTATTTTTTCTCTCTCACCCATCTACACACAATACCACATAATGGCAAAGTGAAAACAGTTTTTTTTTAGAAATGTTTGCACATTTATTGAAAATGAAATACATAAATATCTAATTTGCATAAGTATTCACACCCAGAGTCAATACTTTGTAGAAGCACCTTTGGCAGCGATTACAGCTTTGAGTTTTTCTGGGTAAGTCTCTAAGAGCTTTTCACACCTGGATTGTACAATATTTGCACATTATTCTTTTTAAAATTCTTCAATCTTTGTCAAATTGGTTGTTGATCATTGCTAGACAGCCATTTTCAAGTCTTGCCATAGATTTTCAAGCCGATTTAAGTAAAAAAAACGAACTATGCCACTCAGGAACATTCAATGTCGTCTTGGTAAGCAACTACAGTGTATATTTAGCCTTGTGTTTTAGGTTATTGTCCTGCTGAAAGGTGAATTTGTCTCCCAGTGTCTGGTGGAAAGCAGACTGAACCCGGTTTTCCTCTAGGATTTTGCCTGTGCTTAGCTCTATTCCGTTTCTTTTTATCCTAAAAAACGTCCTTACCGATGACAAGCATACCCATAACATGATGCAGCCACCACCATGCTTGAAAATGTGAAGAGTGGTACTCACTGATGTGTTGTGTTGGATTTGCCCCAAACATAACGCTTCAGGACATACAGTAAAGTTAATTTATTTGCCACAACAGTTTTTGCTGTTTTATTTAGGGCCTTATTGCAAACAGGAACAACTTATTTAGGCTTGCCATAAAGGGTTTGAATACTTACTGACCCAAGACATTTCAGCTTTTCATTAATTTCTAAAAACATAATTCCACTTTGACATTATGGGGTATTGTGTGTAGGCCAGTGACACAAAATAAAAATGTAATCCATTTTAAATTCAGGATGTAACACAACAAAACGTGGAAAAAGTCAAGGGGTGTGAATACTTTCTGAAGGCACTGTATGGCCACAACAACACACAGCAGAGTGTTACATTACAGCTCTATTGTTACATTACAGTTCTATCAGTCACTGGCTAAATGAAGCAGCGTGCGTGGCAGGAGATGTATTAATAGAAGCTGTGAAAACAAAGCTTTGCACTCCATTATCTAAGAGAACATCTCATTTACTGTTCCCAAGCTCAGCTACTGTTGGAGCTGCGATGGGCTAATTAGTAGTGCACTAAACCTCTTTAGAATGAGATATGATGTGTTGACTGATTCATCTATCCACCATGTTAAAAAGTATAATTAAGTTGCTAAAATGAATGAGAGACACCACAGAACATACAGTCATGTATTTAATGCTATGATGAAAAACAGTGTGGCGCTACCCTTTAACTGCAAAGAGACAGATTATATGATGACTGCCAGACTGTTCCACTGACCTGAGCTGTGTGAGAGGGACGGCCGTGCACTGCTGAGACTGGGAGCCCTCCTGAGGCGGGCCAGGGTGCTCCTGGGGTTGGGAGGGACCGTGGGGGGGCTAGGCTGGTGAGGGGGACTGAAACATTTAATGGGGTTCTGGGGTCCCTGGGGGCTGGCAGGGCTGGTGGGAGACTCGTCTGGTAGAGAGTCAGCCTTGGTGGACGTCACTATGCTACCATTCAGATGCAAGTCTGTTAGGCGAAGAACAAACACTATAGAGATGAACCACAAGCACAAGCAGGAAGACGCATGCTACTGTCAGAACAAAAATGACAAAACATTTCGCAACATTACAAAAGCCAGTGTATCAAGGGAAATCCTGTCCTGGGGTTATGGATAGCATTGGAGGGATAAGGAAGAAACATTGCACCTTTGGAAATGGCTGCTGTATCCTCTGTAGCCATGTCATTTTGCACCTGTCTGAGGCGCAGGCGCATCCTGTCAGCTCTCTGACGATCCCCCAGGGCGGGCTGGCCCTCCTGCTGCGCCAATCGGTGCTGCCTCATCTTGTTCCGAGCAAACCTAGACGTTCTCAGCCTTTCCTGCACACAAACACACAACACTCCAGCCAAATACATGCCACAGGTGTAACTGACTGATAGCAGTGGTAGAGGGACATTTTCTTTCAATCTGTAATGCCTAATGGGAAATGTAGTCTCAGAGGTTGTTGGTGGTGTATGTACAGTATGGTGGACCTGCTCACCCTAGCCTCCGAGTCTGGGCTGTCGTCGGGGTCCAGGTGGTTGCCGGGGACAGCATGGCTGTAGATGCCAGTTGGAGGGTCACTGTGCAGCCTGGTCATACAGTCGCCCTGCTCCATCGACATGGCAATGCCTGGACAGCTGGACAGAACCCCCAAGCCAAACACTCCTGCAGAGGGGAGAAGTGAGGAAGATTCAAGAGCGCTCAAGCTAATGTTTTCATTGAAACCATTATTCAGCAAAGTTCCATATGACTACATAGAACTCTATTCCACATCAAGTAACTCACGCAAGCAGTAAAATCTGATTTAAAAAACAAAAATACACCTTATGGAACAGTGGGGACTGTGAAGACACACCCACACAGGCACAGACACACACATATGATAACATACGCACTATACACACACACGTACACATGGATTTTGTGTTGTAGTAGAGTAGTGGACTGAGGGCACACACACATGTGTTGTGAAATCTGTTAAGAAATGTAATGTCATTAATTGTATATACAGTTGAAGTCGGAAGTTTACATACACTTTAGCCAAATACATTTAAACTCTTTTCACAATTCCTGACATTTAATCCTAGTAAAAATTCCCTGTCTTAGGTCAGTTAGGATCACCACTTTATTTTAAGAATGTGAAATGTCAGAACGATAGTAGAGAGAATTATTTCTTTCAGCTTTTATTTATTTCATCACATTCCCAGTGGGTCAGAAGTTTACATACACTCAATTAGTATTTGGTAGTGTTGCTTTTAAATTGTTTAACTTGGGTCAAACGTTTTGGATAGCCTTCCACAAGCCTCCCACAATAAGTTGGGTGAATTTTGGCCCATTCCTCCTGACAGAGCTGGTGTAACTGAGTCAGGTTTGTAGGCCTCCTTGCTCGCACACGATTTTTCAGTTCTGCCCACAAATGTTCGATAGGATTGAGGTCAGGACTTTGTGATGGCCACTCCAATACCTTGACTTTGTTGTCCTTAAGCCATTTTGCCACAACTTTGGAAGTATGCTTGGGGTCATTGTCCATTTGGAAGACCCATTTGCGACCAAGCTTTCACTTCCTGACTGATGTCTTGAGATGTTGCTTCAATATATCCACATAATTTTCCTTCCTCTTGATGCCATCTATTTTGTGAAGTGCACCAGTCCCTCCTGCAGCAAAGCACCCCCACAGCATGATGCTGCCACCCCCGTGCTTCATGGTTGGGATGGTGTTCTTCGGCTTGCAAGCCTTCCCCTTTTTCCTCCAAACATAACGATGGTCATTATGGCCAAACAGTTCTATTTTTGTTTCATCAGACCAGAGGGCATTTCTCCAAAAAGTAAGATCTTTGTCCCCATGTGCAGTTGCAAACCGTAGTCTGGCTTTTTTATAGCGGTTTTGGAGCAGTGACTTCTTCCTTGCTGAGAGGCCTTTCAGGTTATGTCGATATAGGACTCGTTTTACTGTGGATATAGATACTTTTGTACCCATTTCCTCCAGCATCGTCACAAGGTCCTTTGCTGTTGTTCTGGGATTGATTTGCACTTTTCGAACCAAAGTACGTTCATCTCTAGGAGACAGAACGCATCTCCCTCCTGAGCGGTATGACGGCTGCGTAGTCCCATGGTGTTTATACAGTGGGGAGAACAAGTATTTGATACACTGCCGATTTTGCAGGTTTTCCTACTTACAAAGCATGTAGAGGTCTGTAATTTTTATCATAGGTACACTTCAACTGTGAGAGACGGAATCTAAAACAAAAATCCAGAAAATCACATTGTATGATTTTTAAGTAATTCATTTGCATTTTATTGCATGACATAAGTATTTGATCACCTACCAACCAGTAAGAATTCCGGCTCTCACAGACCTATTAGTTTTTCTTTAAGAAGCCCTCCTGTTCTCCACTCATTACCTGTATTAACTGCACCTGTCCACACACTCAATCAAACAGACTCCAACCTCTCCACAATGGCCAAGACCAGAGAGCTGTGTAAGGACATCAGGGATACAATTGTAGACCTGCACAAGTCTATGGGCTACAGGACAATAGGCAAGCAGCTTGGTGAGAAGGCAACAACTGTTGGCGCAATTATTAGAAAATGGAAGAAGTTCAAGATGACGGTCAATCACCCTCGGTCTGGGGCTCCATGCAAGATCTCACCTCGTGGGGCATCAATGATCATGAGGAAGGTGAGGGATCAGCCCAGAACTACACGGCAGGACCTGGTCAATGACCTGAAGAGAGCTGGGACCACAGTCTCAAAGAAAACCATTAGAAAACACACTACGCCGTCATGGATTAAAATCCTGCAGCGCACGCAAGGTCCCCCTGCTCAAGCCAGCGCATGTCCAGGCCCGTCTGAAGTTTGCCAACGACCATCTGGATGATCCAGAGGAGGAATGGGAGAAGGTCATGTGGTCTGATACCTGGTCAAGACCTACAGGAAACGTATGATCTCTGTAATTGCAAACAAAGGTTTCTGTACCAAATATTAAGTTCTGCTTTTCTGATGTATCAAATACTTATGTCATGCAATAAAATGCAAATGAATTACTTAAAAATCATACAATGTGATTTTCAGGATTTTTTTACAGACCTCTACATGCTTTGTAAGTAGGAAAACCTGCAAAATCGGCAGTGTATCAAATACTTGTTCTCCCCACTGTACTTGCATACTATTGTTTGTACAGATGAAAGTGGTACCTTCAGGCGTTTGGAAATTGCTCCCAAGGATCAACCAAACTTGTGGAGGTCTACAATTCTTTTTCTGAGGTCTTTGATTGTCATCATGGGAAAATCAAAATAAATCAGCTAAGAGGCATTGAGTTTGAAGCTAGGCCTTGAAATACATCCACAGGTACACCTCCAATTGACTCAAATTATGTCAATTAGCCTATCAGAAGCTTCTAAAGCCATGACATCATTTTCTGGAATATTCCAAGCTGTTTAAAAGGCACAGTCAACTTAATGTATGTACACTTCTGACCCACTGGAATTGTGATACAGTGAATTATAAGTGAAATAATCTGTCTGTAAACAATTGTTGGAAAAATTACTTCTGTCATGCACAAAGAAGATGTCCTAACCGACTTGCCAAAACGATAGTTTGTTAACAAGACATTTGTGGAGTGGTTGAAAAACAAGTTTTAATGACTCCAACCTAAGTGTATGTAAACTTCCGACTTCAACTGTAACTGTCTTAATGTGTCTGGACCCCATGAAGAGTAGAAGCTGCCTTGGCATCAGCTAATGGGGATCCATAATAAATACAAATACAAAGCTGAAACCTTGAGCAGTACAGTGTATTTACATAGCTACAGAATACTGTAAGCAGTGATGACTTCCAAAATATGATGCCCTCTCTCCTCTGCAAGTTTTTGCATATGTTACTGTGACAAAGCTAAGTGTATTGCCAACTACAAGTTAACCCAAACAATGATTTGACTTGGCCCGGATACTGTGTGGCCCCAGGCAGGGCCTTGAGTACTGTGAGATTTGGCTCTGTGGTTATAGGAAACTTCCACCCAAAAACTATATTTTGGTATTTGTTTCATTAGTCCATTGTTGATATAGTCCCAACATGTTTTGCAAGTTTACAAGATATATAACTTTCAAAATACAGAAATATAGGCAGTATGATCCATTTTGCATCATATTCTACATTTTAGTCATTTTATATTATGCAAAACGCAGCATTATATGATGCAAAATGCATCATACCGGCTGTATTTCTGTATTTTGAAAGTTATATAACTTGAAAACTTGATTGCTGACATGGAAAACATTTTGGGACTATATCAACAATGCACTAATGAAACAAATACCAAAATATCATTTTTGGGTGGAGTTCTCCTTTAATAAACACAGCCCTGAGCCAGAACACCATGACCTCAGAACACAGTATTGGACATCATGGACATCTGAACAATGGCACAGAGACGTAAATAAGAGGAGACAGTTAAGGACTGACCTCTGCCAACCACACCAGGCATGTCAGTGACTGGTGAGTTCCTGTTGCTGTAGATCTGGGACCCTGAGGAACAGAGAATGGAGAAACATATACACATTTATTTTTAAACAAGTCACTGAAACATATGGAAAACATATAGAAAAATACCCATAATTTAAGGACAGTGATATGCCTCAATGGAGCAGGCCTCCTTGCAGTGACTGACCTTTGGCAGGCCTCAGGGCTTTAACTGTCTCCCGGAAGGCTGGTCTAGTTGGGGGTGGAGAGTATTCTCTAGTCCGGTCCTCTTCCTCAGGTTCCATTGGTCCGTTAGAGTACGGGACTCTTTGACCAATAACACTTACTTCAGGTATAATTTTATCTCTGAGTGGAAAGCCTGGTGAAGAAAACACACAAACACACTATTAGAGATTAATCAGCAACAGAAACAACACTAATCAGAGAGATCCTTTTACACGTCAAATCCTCACTGTACCTTGAAGGGCACTGAAGTCCATGGAGACAGAAGACCTCAGCTTAGCAGAAGGCACTCTAGCGATGTGAGGCTTTGCTGAAGAGGAGGCAGAATTCCCAGGGCTGCTGACAGAGGTCAGAGGTTATTCACCAGAAGGGATATCATATCTATCAGACCTTGGTGTGTGTCTATTTGAAGGTGTGAATATCATAGCTTGACCCCTTTGCCCCCCCCCCCCCCCCCCCTCCCCCTCCCCCTCCCCCTCCCATTATTCTTGAAACAGGATCTCATTTGGTTCAACTTAGAATCTAGTGGAATGTACCTGGTTTTGGTGCCATTGAGGGTAGAGTTTGGGGGTGAGTAGATGCTGGAGAGCCCGCTCTCGCTAGCTGGGCTGGTGACTGTGGGCGAGGTTTGAGAGGGGGAGTCCAGAGCCAGCTCCAGTTTCATGGCTGAGTCTGGGCTATCTGGGTCAGGGTCTGAGCCACTCAGACTCACCTTGGCCTTCTTCTTAGCTGCACTGCAGCGCAGGGAGCGCAGAGAGTTCAGCATCTGTAAACAACAACAACAACACATTAGCTCATCAGTAACCTAAGAGCAAGGCAAGAGTGTGCTGTGAATACAGATACTATTTTATGCATGGTGTATATCCATGACAACTTAGATATCAAGTATCTTTACCCAGCACTAACATTACAACACACATACTTAGTCCCAAATATTACCCATTTCACCACCACTGCACTAATGAAGGGAAAACATGATCCACATGCCATGTTCCTGCACTGAGGTATCCAGAGTTATGGGTACAGCTATGGATAAATCCCTGATGGCAAGACTGCAGCTTTCAGACAGTGTCCTAGCTACATTCAGCTGGAGACTTCACTAAGCAGAGCCATGTGTGTAAAACAGTGATCCTAACCTCCTGCCGGTCCAGGTTGTCCTCTTCCTGCTCCTGGTCTTGGTCCTGCAGGCTGAGGTGATCCAGGTCCAGGTGGAGGTTCCTCTCAGACAGGTGGTCCTGCAGGCTAGATGGAGATGGAGCTGGAGGATTGAACCGCTGGCCATTCTGAGACTGGCCCCGCTCTGGCAGGGGAAGGCCTGGAGACCGGGAAACAGGCAACACGGTCCTCGTCTCACTCAGAGCCTGCCGGAAAGACAAGGCAGACGAGGAGCTCACCAGAGAGGCACGGAGAGGCCGTGGAGAACACCTGCTGGATGAGAAGTCACCTGTGGGGACAAAGAGAGCACTCAAAAACATGCCTCAACTAAATAACATGACTACCAGGATCTACCCAATAATATGCAGTAGATACCAGACCCATACTTGATATGTCTTTCCAGGAGCTGGGGTCTAGTCTGTGGGGGCTGCTCTCTCTCTTGTTGGGCCAGGTGTTAGACATAGACAGTGAGGAGTCAGCGTGGCGGCGGGACAGTGTTGGGGTCAGCAGGCCCCCGGGGAGTGTAGCCAGAGGGTAGGAGGGCAGTAGGAAGGTGCCCTGGGCCGAGGGGTTGGAGGGGAGGGAGAAAGTGCGCTCAACGCCGGGGGTCCCAGGGAGGAGACGGGCCTTGTATACCACTGCAACACAAAGATCCTTCAGTTACCTTTCAATTAAACTGGGTTCTGTAGAAGGCACATAGGCTGTGCAGAGTAAAGACTTCCTCACCTCCCTCTGTGTCAGAGAAGTTGGTCGATTTGAAGATGTCAGGGTCCAAGTCAAGGCTCCCACTCCTTCTCAATCGTCCCAGGGATTCCCTCCTTATAGAGGACAGGGGTTTATGGGGCTCTGCAGAACCTGGAGGACAACAAATCAGCTTTTACTGTACATCATAACCATTATCTATTCTCTATCAATACAATATGATGACTTATTGTTGGTGGATCAGCAAGTCATTTTTATTTTCAAAGTGATACGGTCAATTGAGTCCTCTTCATTGAGGGTAAGCTAACACTGAGGTCAGGCTAACCTGTGAGCCCAGTGACTAGCAGGGGAATGTAAACTGATCCTAGTTTGTTTCATTTGATAAATGATTCAGTCTAGGTTTAATACCTTTAGCTAAGTCAGAGCTTAGTTAAAACATGCATTGACAAACAGCTTTTATGGAGAGAGCAGCGGAGGTGTGGGGGAGATTCTTTACAGAAACTATTTGTTCATACTGGGTGGTAAAAGTTTCTGGCGTGTTGTGCGGCCTGCAGTCAAGTCCAGTCTTGCCTGTGAGCACAGGCTGCTCTTTTAAAACAGTGGCTACGTAGCGGTTCACACACACTCCCCAACCCAAAACACTCACAACTCACTCACACACAATTCAGCATAGCATCTAGCAGTTTTTGTATTCCACTGCATGCTGTAAAAGCAAAAGACATAGCAAAACTTTTTTAAATTCATTATTATTTTACATTTTTGTAGGCTACTTTAACAAAGTCTTGTACAATATTTTGGTATATGGACTCATTCCAAATTCCCAATGCACCTGATACAATTGGAGTCTTCACTTAGAGGATTACATTCAGCATTGTGTCAAGATTACATATGTATACTGGTAGTCAAGGCAGTGGAGGTGGGCCTAAGATATCAGAGCAGTACTTATTATGTCCAAATCAACCAATCATACAAGCTACTTTAGGGGTATGGAATGCATCTTATTCTCCTGTCACAGGTTGCCTCACTGTAAGGTATATTGATAAAAGGTCAAGTTGCACACCAAGACCCTGGCAATTGAATACCTAAGTACTATCGCTAGCATCCCCGCTTGAGAAGATACCATGTTCATGACACAGCATCTGCTGTATTATCTCAACTGGCTTACCCACCTAGTCTGGTCCTTTCCTTCCTTTGAGAGCTTTTCTCCTGACCACTCTTTCAGAGTGAGCCAAGTCAACAGTGGGCTAATTGACTGCAATAGGAAGGAAGCCTCTGACAGGTTGGTGGACGTGACCACAAACCAACTGTGACTGCAAAGTGGAGGAACTTTAATAAATCATTGTAGCCAACTATTGCTTTCATCCACTTTACTGGCCTTCCTCCCTCACAATTAATACCTCATATTCTCTTTTGTCTACAGAAAACAGAAAATGTATGTATTTGATCACATTGGGTCCATACTTGCGAACATTAGAAAGCGTTTATATTTAACCTGGACCTGTCTCAAAATGCGCATCAGCCTATTACAATAGTCGACGTAGTTGCATGTGATAGAATGCTACATTGTAGCTGATCCCATCATATAGCATAGGGCTAACATGTGCCAGGTTAACCTCACCAGCTGACAGTGATTACTCCCTGTAACAAATTCCGCATCAGCCCATCAAAGATTTTAGACTTCATATCCACCAACCAATGGCATTTCTTAAAAAGGTCCAATATACTGAACAAAAATTTAATAAAATATGCAACAATTTCAAAAGATTTTACTGAGTTACAGTTCATATAAAAAAATTAATTGAAATAAATTAATTAGGCCCTAATCAATGGATTTCACATGACTGGTAATAAAGATATGCATCTGTTGGTCAAAGATACCTTAAAAGAAAAAAGTAGGGCGTGGATCAGAAAACCAGTCAGTATCTGGTGTGACCACCATTTGCCTCATGCAGTGCGACATCTCTTTCGCATAGAGTTGATCAGGATGTTGATTGTGGCCTGTGGAATGTTGTCCCACTCCTCTTCAATGGCTGTGCGAAGGTGCTGGATAATGGTGGGACCTGGAACGCACATCGATCCAGAGCATCCCAAACATGCTCAATGGGTGACATGTCTGGTGAATATGCAGGCAATGGAAGAACTGGGACATTTTCAGCTTCCAGGAATTGAGTACAGATCCTTGCGACATGGGGCTGTGCATTATCATGCTGAGTGGCGTAGTGGTCTAAGGCACTGCATCACAGTGCTAGCTGTGCCACTAGAGATCCTGGTTCGAATCCAGGCTCTGTCGTAGCCGGCTGCGACCGGGAGACCCACGGGGCGGCGCACAATTGGCCCAGCGTCGTCCAGGGTAGGGGAGGGAATGGCCGGCAGGGATGTAGAGCATGGCGTTTGCAACGCCAGGGTTGTGGGTTCGTTTCCCACAGGGGGTATGAAAAAATACAAAAAACATGTATGCACTCACTAACTGTAAGTCGCTCTGGATAAGAGCGTCTGCTAAATGACTAAAAAAAAAAAATAAAAAAAATACATGAAGTGATGGCGGCGGATGAATTGCACAACAATGGGCCTCAGGATCTCGTCACGGTATCTCTGTGCATTAAAATTGCCATCGATAAAAAGCAATTGTGTTCGTTGTCTGTAGCTTATGCCTGCCCATATCATAACCCCACCATCGGGCACTCTGTTCACAACATTGACATCAGCAAACCACTTGCCCACACAACGCCATCTGCCCGGTACAGTTTAAACTAGTATTCATCCAAGAAGTGCACACTTCTCCAGCGTGCCAGTGGCCATCGAAGGTGAGCATTTCCCCAAACTGCAGTCAGGTCAAGACCCTGGTGAGGACAAAGAGCACGCAAATGAGCTTCCCCGAGACGGTTTCGGACAGTTTGTACAGAAATTCTTTGGTTGTCCGGGTGGCTGGTCTCAAACGATCCCGCAGGTGAAGAAGCCTGATGTGGAGTTCCTGGTCTGGCGTGGTTACACGTGGTCTGCGGTTGTGGGGCCGGTTGGAATCTAAAAACGACATTGCAGGCAGCTTACGGTAGAGAAATTAACATTTAATTCTCTGGCAACAGTTCTGGTGGACATTCCTGCAGTCAGCATGCTAATTGCATGCTCTCTCAAAACTTGAGGCATCTGTGGCATTGTGTTGTGTGACAAAACTGCACATTTTAGAGTGGCCTTTTATTGTCCCCAGCACAAGGTGCACCTGTGTAATGATCATGCCGTTTAATCAGCTTCTTGATATGCCACACCTGTCAGGTGGATGGATTATCTTGGCAAAGGAGAAATGCTCACTAACAGGGATGTAAACAAATTTGTGCACAAAATAAGAGAATAAATATGCTTTTTGTGAGTATGGAACATTTCTGGGATCTTTTATTAGTTGATCTACAGTCTATATCTGTCTTATTTACAATTGTTGTTTAGAGCCTACCCTTTGAAGTCCAGCTTTACATCTAGGCTATATTAATATGCAACAATTTATTATTTAAATATTGAAAGTGTGTGGGCTACAGAGAGAAACAAAATGGTGCAGTTTCAGGCTGTGGCAGAAAGTGATGAGGGCCCTGGAGATGGGGGTGTGTGCTCGTGGGTCTGGGCAGGTGTCATGTAGTTGATGTTTGCATGGTGTTGTCGTTTGTATGTGTATGTTTTGAATAGTTTATAAAATATCAAATAAAAAAATAATAATATGCAAAGATTTACAAACAATATAGCTCTCCGCCCATCTTCCCTACCTTGGATCACTTGCCTCACCTGCCGGCCTACAGTATATCCGCTAATCTGTCCCCATGGGTCCGAGTTTCCCTGTTTTCTCCTGACTGATCACTGGTGACTCTCGTGGATTCTTTGCTGCTTCTCCGCTTAGCCCTCGCCTATCCAGCCCTACAGTGTCCTGGTGTCTCCTCCGCTGTTCCTTCGCCGACGACAAACTCCATTGATCTCCGGTGATTTTTCTCTTGCTGAGTCTCCGCCGTCCACAGATCCCCGGTGTCTCCTAGAGCTTTCTCCGCTGACTCGCCGCGGCCCAGCTGTACTGTTCTTCTGTGTTTCTCCGACTCCTCGTTGATACACCGGAGCGCTACGGGCCTTTCGCAACCCTGAGTCCCAGGCTTGAATACCGCAGCGGGGCTACATCTCATTCCCTCCGTCTACAGCTGATCACTACGAGTGCTCGCAGTGCGCATTTGGCGCACGTATTTGGAGCGGTGGCATTTTACACACATTGTTTAAAGTTACTCTCTCTGCAATGTGTCGGGATTTTGGGCTTTTCCTCTTTTTATTTTTTTGAAATGTCTGTTAATGCCACATTGCATCCCGTCCCGCTACTCGGGCCAGTCCCTCTCCCTCCCCTGGGTGAAACATCGATGCGTTTCCCCTTCTCATCTAGAGATGTTATTTCATTCATGGTTACTCTGTTTGGGATATTCTCTGTTACCCCGATGTTTGCTTGCTAATGAAACAGTTTTGCCAAACGCTTTCTATTAAGCCCATCATGAACATCCTCCATGAACATCCTCTCATGCGCACGGCAGCCTGAGAGTGCCGATTATAGTCATGGCCTTATCATATTACTGCTGATGGTTTCTGGTAATGTACATTCAAACCCTGACCCTGGCCCTGGCGTTTGAGTTAACAATTCTGTCATACCTGATGCTAATAGTGTGACTTTTGATGACTTCTGTAACCGCAAAAGCCTCGGATTTATGCATATGAACATTCGGAGTCTCCTCCCAAAACTTGATGAGCTGAAAACATTAGCGCACACGACCACCCCTAAAGTTCTGGCCATCTCCGAATCATGGCTCTGGAAATCTGTTAAACTGTTTTCATTCCTGGTTATAATATTTTCTGCCAGGACAGGTCCTCCAAGGGAGGAGGAGTTGCCATCTATTGTAAGGAGAGTCTGCAGTGCTCTGTCATTCTATGTAAGTCTGTGCCCAAACAGTTTGAGTTGCTGCTGTTAAACATCAAACTCTCAAAGTACTTCTCTCTCACTGTTGCCGTCTGTTCAAATCAAATGGTATTGGTCACATACACATATTTAGCAGATCTTATTGCGGGTGTAGTGAAATGCTTGTGTTCCTAGCTCCAACAGTGCAGTAGTATCTAACAATTCACAACAATACACACAAATCTAAAAATACAAGAATGGAATTAAGAAATATATAAATATTAGGACGAGCAATGTCGGAGTGGCATTGACTAGAATACAGTATCTACATAAGAAATGAGTAAAACAGTATGTAAACATTATTAAAGTGACCAGTGTTCCATTATTAAAGTGACCAGTGATTCCATTTCTATGTACATAGGGTAGCAGCCTCTAAGATGCAGGGTTGAGTAACCGGGTGGTAGCCGGCTAGTGACAGTGACTAAGTTCAGGGCAGGGTACTGGGTGGAGGCCGGCTAGCGATGGCTATTTAGCAGTCTGTTATAGATCACCCTCTGCTTCCGCCTGTGCTCGGACTGCTCTAAGTGAACTGATTGCCCCTTATACCTCCTCAGAGCTTGTTTTATTAGGTGACCTCCCAACTCTGTACAACTCCAGCTGTATGCTTTAAACCTCTCCTAGATTGTACAGGTTCCCACCAGATACAACCCCAAGTATATTGATAATGGCACAATCATAGATGTTATTCTCACTAATATGCCTGCTAAGTACACCTCTGCAGTTTTCTGCCAAGGCCATAGTGACCACTGTTGTATTGCCTGTGTCCGCAATGGTACCAATGTTAAACGTCCCCCCTCTGATTATTATCAAACATCCGTTAAAGCACTTTAATGGGAAGGCCTTCATACATGACCTGGCATCTGTACACTGGCCCAGAACTGACCTTATCCCTTCTGTTGAGGACGCTTTGTCCCATTTTAAAACCTATTTCCTCACAGTCCTTAATAAACATGCTCCGCTTAAGAAGGTTAGAACCAAAAACTGCTACAGCCTCTGGTTTAGCACTGAACTGTCTGAGCTGATCCAGCGAAAACACCTGCTCTGGTGTAAAGCAAAGGCCTCCACGGACCCTTCTGATTGGCAACTCTTTAGGGAAGCAAGGAACAAGTGCACTCAATCAATCAGGGAAGCAAAAGCAGGATATTACAAAAGACAATTAGCTGCCTATGGTTCTGACCCTAAGTAGTTCTGGAACACTGAAAACAATGGAAAATGAAAATTGAACCTCTCAGCTGCCTTCTGCACTCAACTTTGAGAACACCATCACCTCCGATAAAGTCAGAATGGTTGAGAGTTTCAACAAGTACTTTGTCAGGGTTGGCCACACATTTGAATCTGCCATGCCCGCTGCGAGCCATGCTGCCCCCAGTAGAGTTCTCCCTCAGAGCACCCCCTATTTCCCCTTCCAACCTGTACAGAAGAATGAGGTCCTAAGGGATTTGTGTAATCTGGACCCTAATAAAATCAGCTGGGCTCAATGATCTGGACCCCCGCTTTCTGAAGCTGTCTGCCTTCATCACTTGCCTCTTCAACCTCACCTTGCAAACATCTGAAGTCCCACAGGATTGGAAAGCTGCTGCCGTCATACCACTCTTCAAAAGGGGGCAACAAGCTAGACCCCAACTGTTACAGACAAATCTCCATCTTGCCTTTCCAAAGATTTTGAAAGTCTGGTCAACAAACAGTTAACCCGCCACCTTGAGACCCAGTGTTCTTTCTTCAATGCAGTCTAGCTTCAGAACTGGCCATGGGTGTACCTCCGCATTACTGAAAGTTCTAAACAACATATCTACTTTTGACAACGAGCAGTATTGTGCGGTTGTTTTTATTGATCTGGCTAAAGCCTTTGATTTTGTTAACCACTGTATCCTGAAAACTATTTCTCTGACCGTGTACAATGTGTGAAATCCGAAGGCCTACAGTCTAAACCACTGGCTGTATTTATGGGAGTTCGACAAGGATCGATCTTGGGCTGACATTCTCTGAGTAGATTAACAATGTTGCGCATGCTGCTGGTGACTCCCTCATCCACCTTTATGCAGATGACACTATCCTGTAAAAAATTGGCCCCTCCTTGAACACCGTGCTGACCACCCTACAACATAGCTTTAACAACATCCAGCATGCCTTCTCTGACCTTCACCTACTCCTCAATACCAAAAAAAACCTAAATGTATACTCTTCAACCGGAACCTACCTTAACCTGCCTGCCCTCCTAACAATCTCAACCTGAATGGGTCAGAGATAGAGTATGTCGACACCTATAAATATCTTGGTATATGGCTGGACTGCTCACTCTCATTCCATCCCCACATCACCCACCTTCAGTCTAAAGTTAAATCCAGAATTGGTTTCCTGTACCGTAACAAAACCTCCTTCACCCACTCTGCCAAGAACACCCTTGTAAAAATGACCATCATGTCAATCCTGGACTTTGGCGACGTAGTTTACAGGCTTGCCTCCAAAACCTCCCTCAAACTAGATACCACACTGCCATCTGCTTTGTTACCAGTGCCCCCATTCAACACTCATCACCGTGATCTTTACACCCTGGTCAACTGGCCCTCATTACATACACAATGGTACCAATCTATTTACAAATCCCTCATAGGCAAGTCCCCCCTTAGCTCGTCAGGGAATAAGGCTACTAGCCTACCTAGACGACCTACTGGTTCTCGCCCCGTCAGCAGAGCTGGCGTTCACTCACACGACACAGACAGTGATTCATTTCACGCGTCTGGGGGTCGCTGTGAATTGGAAAAAGAGCACACCCTGGCCCAGTCATCAGATTGTCTATCTGGGGATACAGATAGACAGTGTAACGATGAGGGCTCGAAGGTTTTGTCCGAATCACACGGTAACAGCGCTTTCGGTCATGTCACTCTTGGGTCTCATGTCGTCGGCCCATTTCGTGGTTCCGCTGAGACTCCTGCGCATGCGCAGGATACAGCGATGGTTCGCCCAACTACGACTAGATCCAATGCGTCATCGTCGTCGGTTGGTGGTGGTTCCCCTCTCGCTCAGTGCAGAGCTGAACTATTGGAGAGACCCGTGTGTTCTCACGCACGGAGTCCCAATAGGCAAAGTGTCCTCCTTCATTCCAGTGTTTACAGGTGCCTCTCTGACTAGATGGGGAGGGACATGTCAGACCCAAGCGATAGGAGGTGTGTGGCCTCTTTCAAGTCATCACATCAACCTCTTCGAGTTGGAAACGGTTCTACTGGTTCTGACCCACTTCGCGTCTACCCTTCGGGGTAACGATGTGCTAGTCTGGTCAGACAACCAAACCACAGTAGCCCACATCAATCGCCAGGGAGGAGTCAGGTCTCCTGCACTCCACCGGGCGGCGGAGGAATTGTGGCTGTGGGCTCACGAGCACCTTTGCTCATTGAGAGCAGCACACATTCCAGGCTACTTGAACATAGGGGCAGACATCATGTCTCGAGGGGGTCCTCGAGACGATGAGTGGCGTCTGCACCCGAACATCGTTCTCCAGATTTGGGAACGGTTCGGGAGAGCCGAGGTGGATCTATTCGCGTCACGCGTGAACGCACATTGCCCTCTTTGGTTCTCTCTTCGAGCTCAGGACGAACCGCCACTGGGGAGGGACGCATTTCTCCTGTATGCTTTCCCACCGCTGTCCTGCATTCTCCCACTGTTAGCCAGGGTGCGATCAGGCCGGCTGTCAATCATATTGGTGGCTCCCGATCACCCAGGGGCTCCATGGTTCGTGGAGATGATTCAGATGTTGATTGCGCCACCTTGGCCAATTCCACATCAACGGGACGCGTTGTCTCAGGCGGGAGGTGTGATAGGGCAATTGCCCATAATCGGCCAACCACTGAAGGCTTGGCTCCTGAGAGGGACAGGCTAGAGCGCCATGGGTTATCTGATTCTGTAAATCAGGACCATACAGGGTTCACGTGCCAGTTCCACTTCCAGGGTGTATGCCAGCAAATGGAACGTGTTTTCACAGTGGTGTGCCACAGAAAATATGGACCCCGTGTGCTGTCAGGTTGAGAGTGTTCTCTCGTTCCTACAATTTATTTGATAAGCAACGTTCACCCGCCACCATTAAGGTGTTTGCAGCGACGATTTCGGCTTGTCATGAGGGGTTTGGCACTGTCTTCAGCCACCCTCTGGTGAAAAGTTTCCTTTTAGGAACACGGAGGCTTAGGCCAATGCCTA